GTACAAAAGCCTCCCCAAAAGGGCGGTCACTGCGTGGGTCACCGTGGCAGTGTGGGGGGCGTTCGGGGCCGCCGTGGTCCCCCAGCTCCTGGTGCAGCAGAGCTATTGGCTCCTTGAGGTGCGACGCATCACCTGCCATGACGTCCTGCCCGTGTTCTCCGAATCCCACGTCTTCCTGCTCTACTACAACCTGTTTCTGACCGTCTTCGGCCTCCTGGTGCCGCTGGGGGTTACGGTTGTGTGCTACGGTCGCATCGTGTGTGAGCTCAACCGATCTCACCACGACTGGGCCATGTACATCCAGGCCAGCTCTCTGGTGTTTGTGATCTTCCTGCTGTGTTTCACTCCCGCTGGAGTCCTGCACCTCCTCCATTATGCGCAACTGTTTGTGTACGGGACGGAGAGTTTGTACGTCCATTTTAAAGTGGCGGTGTGTTTGTGCTGCCTCCATGCATGTCTGGACCCTTTCCTCTTCCTCCTGATGTCAAAGTCCGCAGGGACAAGGCTTTACTTCAGGGCCTTTAAAGGCAAAACTCTGAGCTTGTCTGTCTAAAAGCGTATTTATGTGTTACCAAAAACTGCTTGTTGCAGATAAAGAGGGAGTTTTTTCTTTGGGGCTGGAATCCAAAGAGAAATAAAAGGACTGTATTTATGATGCAAGCAATGGAACAACCTTTTTGTTGCTTTAAATGTGTTGTCTGGAATAATATTTTTTTATATAGCAATACTTCTCATGTGTGAGAATACGTCAAAGACATTGAATGGAGATGCTTCATTTGTTAATGGATATGTTTGTAAATATGAAAAGAAAGTATGCTTTTTTAAATAATTAACATGATATAGTTAATAGTTTTGATTCATGGCTTTACAACAGTCTTCCTTGTGGAGTGTTTCAGTATGTGTTGAACACTTGCTGTGAGGGGCATTAATACCTATCTGACAAGCTATAACATGAACTGTCTTTAGCCTCCAAGGCTTTTCTGTGTTCCCGTCACATACTGTATGGAGCTGTGATGACTAAAACATAAGCTATGCTGTGTTTAATGTTTACTTGGATGTCTTGTAGCGCCTAGAAGTGTCTTAAGCCAATTTAGCTTGAATCCCTCCCCATACAGACAAACTAAATGTAATTTTTCTACAACTTAGAACATCTCTGTATAGTATATTCAGATATGTTCCCAAATATGTATTCAAATACACTTTGTTTCTCTTATCTTTTAATAATGAACTTCCCTCCACTGAAGGGAGTATGCATTTCCTGCCCAGCCTGTAACAGGATGTAGGATACACACCATAGACTGTATAGATACACACACACCACCAGCACATACACTACTAGACTAATTAACATACAGTTACAAAAATACAATAAAAAAAAGAGGAAATCTTGTGACTTCCACAAATTAAGTGTGCTGTATCTGTAATGGTTTTGTACACCAATTGTACTAAGGTGGAAGTTGTGGGCTTTTTTTTTTTTAAGGGATTGTCATCCATTTAAATGTAGTAATTTTAACTTAAAAAATGCAGATAACACATTGAAAGGCTTTTATAAGGTGTAATGTTAGATTAAATAGTAAGTCGAACAGCCTGCAGACTAAACTACAAACATTTTAAAGTGAACAAACGCATTGAAAATACCCCTCTAGCTAGCTGTCTTGCTAAGCTAGCTAGCTAGTTAGATACGCTGGCCTTACAGTACTACACGATTTACGTAGTCCATGTTTTCCAATCATTAAAGGTGGGGTGGGTAATTTTGGAGAAACCAGCTCGAGTGCGCTAGAATTTGAAAATACACAACCGGAGAAAATCTGCCACTTCCTTACAGAGCCCCTCCTCCAACACACACGAACGCGCACATGACCAATGAGGGCACGAGATACGTTTGTGCACAGATGGAAGGCTGACAGGCAGGTAGGCCATCCAGTTATTTGAGCCGAGCCGGCTAAAATGATTGGTCGTGCTTTTTACAGCGCTACGGCTTCAGATTACATTTTTGTAAAGCATTTAATATATTCATTGCTATCGGGATGCTAAGAGCATTCCATGGAATATAACAAAAAGTGTTTCTGAAATAAATGACATACCCCACCTTTAAGTGAATTTGTATTTACGTAAATTCGCATCACAAGCCCTCCAATGTAGCTTACCTCAGGCTCTGTAGTTTTACCAACTGGACCGTCTACTACCCTGTTCCTGCCGAATGACATAAACACTGAAGCTGCAGAGAGTTAATCCTCATCAACCCTGCAGATAAACTAAGTTTAGAGACTGCAACATGTGTACACTCAGAAATAGAAACTAGTGATGGGAATTCCGGCTCTTCTTGGTGAGCCGGATCATTTGGCTCGGCTCACCAAGAAGAGCCGGCTCTTTCGGCTCCCAAACGGCTCTTCAGTTTACCACATATTATACCTTTTATAATTCAATCAAATGTAGCCTTGTTTTGACTAATGATTTATATGTGTACACATATCACTTAAATTATTCAATACATCCTTTGTACTGAAGTATTCAAAAGTAAAAATGACATGTTTAATATCAATTATTTGCTGTGGCCAATTGTTTTCATTGCATTTACAGACCCTTGTATCTCTCTGATACCACCCAATGAATGCACAGACTTGCTTGTCGAACCACGCTACACAAAGCAGATAGCAACACCTATAACAAAACCCGAGGTGACAGGGCTTTCAGTGTTGCAGCTCCTAGACTGTGGAACAGCCTCCCAGTACATATCCGGACTGCTGAGTCTATTGAACTTTTTAAATCTCAGCTAAAAACTCACCTCTTTGCACTGGCTTTTAATACTAGTTGAACATTACATTTTTACATTTGTATGTGTTTTTTTAAAAATATTTTTCTAGTTATTGTGCTTTTTATCATGTTTTTAATTATTGTTTTATTATTGTACTCCCATTGTGTTATTTAATATGTATTGCCTGTACAGCACTTTGGTCAACTGAAGGTTGTTTTAAATGTGCTATATAAATAAATAAAAATTGAGATTGAGATAAAAACTTAAGCATAGACATTTTAAAAAATGGGCTACTCTATCGACATTTTAAAATTATATTTAAAGAAAAGGCCCTGACTAAACAGCAGGGCTCTATTTCAGTATTAATTATAGAAAAAAAGACAGCAACAGCTGACATCAAATCTTTGCCGAGCCCAAGGATAATCATAAATAAATAACATGGTGAAAATAAATATATTGCAATGCTCAGTACAGCAGCATCCAACCGTCTCTAATCATAAAAAAACATAATAAAAATAAATGTATTGCAATGCTCAAAACAGCAGCATCCAACAGTCTCTAATCCTTGGATATTACATGTCACTGCATGCATGCACGGAGCAGCTGTAGCGCGGAGATCATCATATCATTCTGTCTTGTATTACTTAACAACAACAAAATAACAAAAAAAAACGGCTCGTTCGCGGGCGCGAGCCGGCTCCCGTCGTTCACTTAAAAGAGCCGGCTCTTTGAGCCGGCTCGTTCGCGACCGACACATCACTAATAGAAACACTAAAACGTACCTGCACTGGAGTATACAGTAGCTCAGGTGGTAGAGAAGCTGCTCCACTGTAATGGTTGACTGTCCCATGTTTCATTTTAACCATTAAAGCATGCAGATCATTCATTAAAAATCCACAAATGAAGGATATCATGGTCACAAATGAAAAGCCAGAAAAAAACATAGTGATGTTATTAAACTAAAATAAGAGATAACTAATTGAAACCCTTGAATATAATATTTTAGGTTGATCTATGCATCAAATGATCTGAAAACCTGTTATGAACCACCACAAAAGTTTGCCCACCCTGAATTTAAAGTTTAATTGAATTATTAAGGTAAATTCGCCTTGAAAGCTAAGCTGGAAGTACCACATTTTCTGGAGGTTGCAAGTTAAAAACTCTCCTGGGCTGTGCTTTCATTTGCTTCGACAAACCTCAGAGGACAGTTTCATAAAGATGTGTGTAACATTTCAGTCTTGTATGAGTCAGTCTGTTTCATTAAGACTGAAATGATGACTCATATTTCAGCTCGAAGGTATCAGGATTGCAGAGGAGAACAACTTAATTCAATTTTAAGACTGAGGTAAACACTTCTTTAAAAAGAAGACTAAATATTAAAGGGATTTAACTTGTTTGATTTGAACTTATGTGTTTTGGTTTAAGTTGTTATCAATATGTTAATCAGGACTTTCTTTTTTTGTCTTTCTGAAGAAAATGAATGCAGCAAATGTTGGGACATGGGACATTTCAGTTTAGAGGCACAAGCTATTTTCATGGTTTTTTATTAAAATTGAGGCTTAATCGAAAAGTTCAACCAATTAAAAAATCAATCTGCTACTTTGTCCAATACATCTTTGAATTAGAGTATTTTAAAGACATATAGAAAGCACCTCATAAGAGCACGTGGTTAATGTTGTATAAATGTTGCCATCTGCTGGTGTAAGTGAATGAGGCCATATTTATTTTTGTACAATGAATGCCCGACAGCTATTCAAATGAAACTCTTTATTCAATACGTAGACACCAGAGGAATCCACCTTTACACTGCAATCACTTGAGCCTTTTCTTAACAAAATAAATCATATCAAGGACAGGTTATTGTTTTTACACACACCTTCACACAGGGGCGGACTGGGACTACAAATCAGCCCGGGACTCTCGACCGGCCCACTTCGGTACCGCCGGCCCACCTCGGTAAAATACTAACGGGGGGGGTGCTAGTGACTTATCCGAGCGGCCCACCTCGGTGCCGCAAGTATATACCGCGAGGAAATTGGCTACGGGGGGTGGTGCTAGTGACTTATCCGAGCGGCCCACCTCGGTGCCGCAAGTATATACCGCGAGGAAATTGTCTACGGGGGGGGGGGGGGGGGGGTGCTGGTGACTTATCCGAGCGGCCCACATCGTCCGACCGGCCCACTTCAGTACCGGCCCATCGGGATTCGTCCCGAACGTCCCGATGGCCAGTCCGCCCCTGCCTTCACATATTGTTTGACAGCAGAGGTTTTAAAATCTGAAAGTCATAACTCTGGAAATGTCATTCCTGCTTCAGTGACTTCATGATGAATCTACCTGGAAACCTTCACAACAAAAAGCAGATTTGACCACCCCTGCTGGGTAACATCTTGTAGTACATACAGGCATCTCAACACTGGCATGCCCTTTCACAATGACATAGAAGTCAACTCAGTATAATGAAAACCTGTCCACAACCAATCTGACGACACACGAGAATGATACATTCACCTTTGACCCGGGAATCACATATCTGTTTCCCTCCGCAGAGGAACAGCGAAGACACCAAGATGGAAAAAGCACACACAACAGAAGGACTTCAGTAACAAACATGCAGGATTTCTTTTTGCAAACAGTGATGTTTAGTGAGCTTTTTCTGCACAGGTGGAGGGGGATGTTGGACGGAGATAAAGCATCAAACATCAGGAAACCAGATCTCAAAACAATTGCATTTCAGTAAGAAAAAAACTGAAATACGTAGCTGCATGTAGGAGCCTATGTACCGCACACATTTCCAGAGTAAGAAATAGGATATAAGCAACACAACATAATGTAAAACTGATTCGGAAAATAACTGAATAAACAGTGCTTTAGTTTTGTGTTATTTGACATTTTGCAAACCCAGAAAATAACATTTTATATTTTACAAATTACCTTTTTTCCTTTTTTAAACATTGTAGCAGCAAAAGTTCCATTCATTAGAGGTTTTAAAGGGTCTGTTCACCCAAATTACAAAAAAACATATTGTATTTACTTAGCAGAGATAGTATCTAGGCATGCAGGTAGTTGTAGTTGTATTTGCCCAGATCTCTGTCTCTGAGGTTTCTCCCACCACTTCATTTCAATGAAGGTGAGTTATATATTGTTTGGTGAAAATCTCCACAGTGTCTCTTTCCAGAAACAACATCTGAACTAATCTTAAGGACCTCACTCCTTTCATGGGATCTACTTTTTACAGATCAAATAATCCCTCTGGAAATATGTATGTGGGTTTTCTAGAGTAGGGACACTGTTTTTTAGAAAGGTACATCTAGGTGTTGTTCTAGGAAGGGAAATGTTGGTCAACATCTCGACAAATATTACATGAATTATCATGAAATGTTGAACAAACATTCATGGTCTCCAGAAGGTGGATCCTAATGACTTTTCTAATTCCCTGACGTTTATTCTAGCTCAATTATGAGGTTGACATTTCTGCTTTTGAGTGAGATATCTCAACAAACATTGAATTATTATGAAAGGTTGTACAAACACTCATTGACCCTACAGGATCAATCCAAATGACTGTCTCTGTCCTGATGAGATCCACATTAAGTGTTTGCACGGCATGTTTTTTGGGAATTTGGGTGAACTGATCATTTAAGCATGGCTTTTAATTTCACTTCATCATTTTGTTAAAATCTTCCAAAAAACACTCCCTGGTGTAGAAAATAAAACAAAAAGAAGCTCACTGATCTTATCAGGGTTTGTCTGGCACACACACTCATACACACACTCATACACACTGCAGTATCAAGAGATGCAAAGCTGATAAAAAGCAGGACAGAGCAGCAAAGCTTCCAGCAAAGGTTTGGAAGAAGAGACGGGCTCAATGGAGAAAGAGGCACGACATTTGAGAAAGGCCTTTGAGTTTTAGGGGGGAGCAGCAGCAAGGCAGGAGGAGCTAAACAGAGCAAGAGGACATGACTGGGAAGGATACACCATGAGGAAAACCAAGACAGTGAGACAATAAACCAAAACAGGGAGGAGAGCAGATTTTAACAGCGTATAAATTCATTTTTTACAGATTGGATTGCAACGGAGAGCAAAGCCCTTCGCGGTGAGCTCGGTGCCACGAGACGAAACACAACACAGACAAGAAAGAGCGAGAGAGGAAGCATTCAGACAAAAAGGTTTCCAATCCCAAAAGTCTCTTACTGTAAAAAGCAGAAAATGTAAACCTTTTTACACTTTAGAAATGTAACTGCTGAAGTTGCCGGTTTTGACTAAACTACTTTATTTATTTATATATTTTTCTTATGGCCTTGTCATTCTTAAAATTAATGTGCAGCAAAAGGCTTGAATGTCGCCAATCATATGGAATCACAGGTGTAAGAACAGAGAAAAAAAAGAACCTTCAATTTCTGGCCTTTCAACTCGAAAAAGCACAATCATCATAAATTATTAAATATATAAATATACATAAAAACAAGTCTGATCACATAAAGGTTTGTTAAAAATATTGTTTTACTTAAAGGAATAGTTTGACATTTACCTGAACTTTACACACTTATTAGCATTCTTGCTCAGAGTTGGATGCAATTGAGCAAAAGCACTCCTAATGTTTGTTATGTAATGATGCTACCGCTAGCTGCTAGTTAGCTTAGCACAAACACTGGAAACATAGGAGAACAAATAGCCTTGCTCTGTTCAAACTAAGGTAACAATATATAATTATCAGCACTTCTGAAGCTCACTAATAGAATTATGCATTTTGTGGGTAAATCCGTTCGAAAAACAAGTGTCAAAAGCAACAGCACTGCAAAGTTACTGACCAAGACATATGGCCCCTAACCACATAACATGACCAATGGTCAAGCTACTTTTTTTTGGTACAGAATGATATGAAAAAAGGTAAATAAGTGAGCTTAAGCGTGATTGGCAGATTTTTTACCAACGGACAGGTTGGCTATTCCCTGTGTTTCCTGTCTTTAAGTTAAGCTAAGCAGCTGCTAATGTGAGCTTTGAATAAGCATGGGTCCCAAAAGCTCAAACTATCCCTTTAATCTGAGTACATTTAATAGAGATTTTGAAGGGGAAGGTTGTGGGAAGTCCAAGCCTTTTGCAGTTGTTACACATATTTGTGTGCTGCATGTGTGAAAACAGCTAATGAGCTGCTGATATTCAGAGTTTCATCACCACCAACAATTCTTACTTGTTTCTGAGCAGTAGCATTTTAATGCCTGCATGAATGCCCAGCGCTTTGGCAAGCAGCCACGTACACTTGGTACATTTCTAACCTTTGATTGTTTTCTCCAAACTCTTTATATCTACAGCTCATTGGAAAGTCAAACTGCAACTCATTATCTTTTATTGTTTACCAGGTTTTTACTCAGAAATAACAGAATAACACACCCTTGTCCTGTTTGAGAACACAGTCAACATTCTTCAGCAAATAATAAATACAAAAATGATGGCAGCTTCAAATAAATCAGTCCATTGAAGAATGGTTATTCAGTAAACTGAGTAAATACCTGGCAAACAACACTCTGTCCTGTGTGGAGGTTTACATGAGGACATTGGCCCGTGTGTCTGGCAGTCGGAGCCCCACCAACCCGCCGGCAACCAGCACAGACGAGGCCATTAGGATGGGGATCGCCTTGGTGATGCCAACCAGAGAGCCAAAGATCAGGTTGCCCAGCACCGCCGCCAGCTTACACATGGCATTACAGAAGCCGAAGCCTGTGCCCCTGAAAACAAGGGGACACAAAGGAGAGAGTCAGAATTTAAAACAGGCTGCAGTGGTTGGAGTAGAATGTGTAAGCTCTGTATTAGAAAATAACAGAGTGTAATTTGTATTCAGTCAAATAAGTGTAATGTTAAGGGGTGTACAGTGTCAGCCCAGTGTCTTCCTCAAATAGTGTAACTTCATGTGTAAGAAAGTTGAGGGCCCAGCTGCCAAGGCCTGTATGCAGGAGTAGGGAGGTGTGTGTCTGTGTGTGTAGGAGGTTTCATGAAAGGACAGAAGGCCCATGGTTGAAGGCTGTTAAAAGTGGTAGGAGTAGCTAGAGAATGTTCTCGCGAATATTAGAAAAAATAATAATAGGGGTAGGAGTAGCTGGAGGGTCTTCAGCCCTCATTAGAAAAACACTGAAGTCAGTAGAAAATGTAGCCAACATAGAAGGAGAAAGTCTCAAAATAGAACCCGTGGTCAAAACATTGGGATGAGAGTTTGAAGATGGAACAGCAGGGGTTAGGACTGTCTCAGTATAAAAAGGAGAAAGCACGTTCACATCTTTGGTCCAGTCGTCCGGAGACTGGCCCCGGTTCTCATTCTTTTAAGAATAAAACTATATGCATCAAACTCTGATGGTCTGCAGTGCATTTTGTGAACCTGATGAGATACCAAGTGCTACGGAACGGCTGAAGATTACAAATCCGTGATCAGATTCTAGCTCAAGCGTGGACCAAATGTCCTAATCTCTGTTTATACTGTACCTAAAACACTTTTCTGAAAGCCTTATCGTGTTCAACAATCAAACCATATCAATGTTTGGATAAATTCAAATACTTGAAAAGTAAATATTTTCACACCCCTTATTGCTGATGTATAATGTGCAATGGATCCGGGTCCAGTAACATAAAGTACAAATTGTTTAAGGAAATATTTACAATATATCTCTATGACCAAAACATTTTGCTTAAACTCAATTGAAACCCTGAATTTAGATACTAATAATTAAAAATGTTTAAATATATACATGCAACACAGGAATATATTCCATTATTAGAAATTAGATTATTATACACATACTGCTTACACTTTGTGTTTTTACTTAAAGAAATAATGATATTTCCACCATAAATTGGTGCAGAAAAATTCAGTAGAGTGCAAGAAATATAACATCAACTGTTGACGCTCAAAATGTCCTGGGAGAAGACCTCAAGAAGCGCCACCCTCCCCTAATGTTGCAATAACATCTACACCTTCACATTTATAAGTATGTATTTGTGTAGTGTGCAGCCCACCTCCTGTCTGTCGGGTACAGCTCAGCGGTGACGACATCCAGCGAGTTCCAGGCGGAGATACTGAGGCCGTTGTAGAGACACAGCATGAAGATCATCATGGACTCGCTGGTGCCAAACCACAGGAAGAAGCAGCTGATGCCTGAGAGCACCATGGAGCCTCCTGCAGGACACAACACGGGACAAAATAACCTCATTTACCTCAGCAGAGATCACCACAAACACAGACCAACATCAAAAGAAATGAATAAGAAGGGCTGCTTGGGTTTCTTTGTACCTAACATGCTGAGACGTCCTATTTTGTCCATGAGCAGGGCAGAGACGATGTTGCCGGGCAGCACAGCCAGCGTTCCCAGGAAGTTGACAAAGTAGACCCAGTAGGCGCTGTAGTCGTCGTCAAACGTCATCTGACAGCCCGTCTTGTTGTGGTGGAAGGAGCTGTTGATCACTCTTGAATTTGTCAGCTTGGCATCGTCAACATCTGTAAATGTGGGACACAAGCATTTTAATTTTGAGTTTAGGTAATACATTTGTTTTGATCCACCTGCCACTTTCTACATCTCGATTTAAACTCGTCTCTTTCTCAGAGTTTAAATCCTTAATGCACAAACTAAATGCTCCGTTTTCTGCCGCTGATAGAGTTGACTTAAATCTGCATGGGTTCATCTCATTGGTTGGCTTTTCTGGTATTGTTTATTTTAGTTTTGTTAATTTCTATTGATTCAGGAAAGGTCAAATGGTTTTGGTATTTCTATGAATTCATCACTGAAGTACAATTTCAACCATACCGGCTTTCAGGCAGGGCTCTGTCTCTTTTATTTATCTTATGTTTTGCATGTTGCATGAAAAGTTGTGTTCTATTTAAATGACTACAAACTATTTGACACAGAAAACCTGCTGTGTCCACTATCCTATTTCACTTTCTGTGAGACAGCAATAGACTTCTTTCCCTACATGCTGAAGTGTTCCTTTATTCTCAACTAGTCGGATTCTTTAATTGGAGGTAAAATAAAACCTTGCCTGCATACACTTGCATTTATAATTGATTCATAAACATAGCCCTTCAAAACTGTGTGCATAGCATACGAGTAGACAGTATTAAGTGTTCTGTATAGTTGACATGTCTGTGGGCTCTCTCCGTAAACAGCAAAGTGTATTAATAAACGTCAGCGGCTGCAGCACAGAGAAAACATTCCCCTCTCTCACCTCTCATGACGCACTCCTCCCTCCCTCTGTCTCTCCTCGTTCCTCTCTTCCCTGCACTCTCTAGAGACACATTGCTTGGGGCAGAGGGACTGCATTTCCCATGGGGAATTACCAGTAACCTGATGTGCCCTTACTCTTTCCATGTTCAGCGCTTTTTCCTGAGCACTGGAGGGAACTTTCTTTCCACCCAGCGCTCCCATACGGTCTGATTCAGCCTCAGTTCCTCTGAGCATTTCAAGTGTCTGCACTCTGCACTGCTTTCCCCTTTGTTCCTGTCTGGGTTTTTGCCTGCCTCAAAAATGATTAAACTGCACTTTTAAAATAAAAGGTGCAATGTTATGCTTTTAGATGTTTCTGCAGAAGGCTGGTTCTGATGCATCAAAAACAAAGCATTATATAATGAAGTGAATAGGAACATCTCACATTTGGAAGTTAAATTCAGCTGCTCAGAGAATCATGTTTATTTACTTCACTGCTTACGTTTTTTTCAAAGCATCTAAAACACCAGTGACAATAACAAGCATCACTCCAGGAGTGTTTGTGTGGTTAGAAAATGCCATTTCAGTGTTCTGCAGCCGTGCCCTGCTCAGTTTCCTTCTTAAGTACAGTCGCCTGGGCTCAGACAGGCAATCTGTGCAGGGGCAGGGAGGTTAAGCAGTCATTTAGTTGCATAAAGCAAAGCCATAAACGTTCAAACCAATTATTTCTTGCCTGGAAGCTTGGACGTTAGACCCAAAATGAACTGTCAGAAAGAGACAGAGAGACTGAGTGAGACATATGTGTGAGCCACCGACGGTATAATAGGATTTTCTGGGGTGGAAGTGTGTGCTCGAGAGGAATGCTCTGAATGTGAGTGTGTAGACTCACCTGTGTTGTAAAAGAAGGAGTCGACAAAGGTGCAGTTTTGGAAGGAGGACCCTACGGAGGAGACGTCTTCAAAGTAGCAGTTGAGGAAGGACGAGTCGATGAATGTGACTGACCTGATCTTCATACTGATGAACCTGGGAGGAGAGGAGTTAACACAGAACACATTAACATATGTTTAAAATATAAAAAGTCTCAACTATTAAATCAGGATTAACAGGGATTGGAAATTGACACTAAATAATTTCTTGTTATTAATGCTTTTTGGGGTGATCCCTTCCCTGTAGTGTGTTACAGTACATAGGCTTTTTTGTAAATGGTCTGAAAAGGCTAAAATCCCTGTGTTCCCTCCAGAGGGAGTTTCTCTCCCACACACTCCCCCCCCCCCCCCCCCCTTAACCTGAATGACATCCATTGCACTCCCACAGGATCTTTTTTTACTTCTGTGACATTATGACATCACTATGTCACAGTTGCGCTTCTACGGCTAGCGCTCAAATACGTTTTACGTGATAGGCAGGACATCTCTAAGTGGGACAACAGAGCCGGCCAGCTAACCAATCAGAGCTGGGCTCTGGTTTCAGACAGAGGGTGATAAGAGGTGCTGCAGCACAGGCAGTATGAGAGAATGAAGACCTTTTTGAACATTAAAGTGTGTAAACATGTCACAGTAGAGGCCATCCTTTAGCATGACTATGACAGGGTTTAGCAGTGTGTTACATATCTATATGATCTGTTGCATGCTGCTGTACACATTGTGATGGTATTGGTCTTGATTGAATCTCTTAATAAACTTCATTGAGGGTTGAAAACAACAAAAACGACATTGATGCTTCTTCTCTCTAGGCTCTGTGTAACCAGGAGGAGAAACAAGTATGTGGGTGTGTGTGTGTGCGTGCGTGCGTGCGTGCGTGCGTGCGTGCGTGCGTGTGTGTGTGTGTTAGAGAGAGGAGAGAGAAAGAGATAAGGCTTTTAATTTCCTGGTGCTGTGTGAGATAAAGGATGCAGGATTAATATTACCAGCAGTGGCGTGTTGTTTGTGGGAATGACTAATAGTACTGCTATCCTACAACGGGACGAGAGGCTTTTAACCACAACACTGTGCTGAGGGAGGCTCACAGGCTCCATTCACAACTTGTAAGCTGTTTTTTTATAACTTCTTTATTATGAATCCCTTTGTCTGAGAGAGCAATATTAAAATCCAATCAGAACATGTTACCTGTCGTTCAGAAACATGCCGTTCCTGTGGATCTGGTTCTCCAGGGTGAAGTTGAAGGTGAAGTCTTCGATGCGCTCGTTGTTGTGGATCTTCACTCTGGAGGCGTAGTCGTCGGCCTGGAGGTGCTTGATGACGTCCGGGAACCAGACGGAGAGCCCGTAGTACCTGGACGCAGCAACACACTAGTAGTAGTCAAGTGTGGACTCTGACAGAGCCACTCCAGCTGGGCTGTGCTCACTTTGAATCATTAACCATTTGGAGAGTTATATTTGTTGTTGCTATTTGATCAATTACTGATGAATTATCTCAATTGCAAACCAAATATTTATAAGATGTGCATATTTGTTTTATAATGCATCAATGTGGCATGACCAGGGCTTCTTGATAAACGTCTGCATTTAGGTCAGTACAACAAATAGTGTATGGTGGGAAACAAATCATCTGCGAAAGCCCCAAAGTCTGACTTTGCTCTTCTTTTCCCCCCCCATCTCTTTTCATGCAGTGCACATGTTGGAGTTACTAACATACCAACGTTGGTTTTAGGCAAACATATTTATAGAAAAAGAGGTTTTTATTTGAAAAGATTGAAAGGATTAGTGACAGCATTTTGAACCTAAATTCACTTTGGTAATAACGCGTCAGAACACGTGTGTAAATATGTCGACATAAATAAACAGGTTTTTTGTTGAGTGTTATTGACTGTGTTATATTTATTTAGAGGAGTACATAGAAAGGTACTTTACAGATAGTTTTTTTGTATTTCTAAGCTGGGAGGTCAAATTTAAAAGGAAAGAAAATAATCTTGGAGCCGACTCAGAAAAAAGAGCTCATACTGTATATCGACCAAAACAAAGGAAATAACCTCATCTTGTCTCTTTTTAAATGTAAAACACTTTTTGACAGGTAGTTCCTTACAGAAGCCAACTAATAAAAAGGCCAGACTGAATTAGCGTGTACTGCACCAACTAGTATTCCTTAACATTACAGTAGTGAATTTCATATTGCTCTTGTGATGATATTCAAGATAAGATCACCACTTGTTCAGGGTACAATAGCCACTTTCCCTCAAACAGCCTCTCTCTATCCAATCTAACCTGGTAACATTCATCATGAGGGTGTAAGTAAGATACTATCTGCCTCAGTGATACTTCACTAAACTCACTGTTATTTAGCTGGAAAGTAGCGGTCACTTGGCTAACTATCACTAAGGGCAATGTATAGCATAATTTAACATGATGACAGAAGAACACAACACAATATAGAAATATAAAGTGTTCTCTTACCCAAATGATAGAGTAAACCAGACTATAGCCAGCTTTATAGTGTTGTCTTTCACTGGGTAGTCGAAGCATTTCATGAAAGTCAACCAGATCTGTAATAAAAGACAAAGCCATTCAGTCAATGAGAATCTTAACAACCATTACGGTTCAGTATAAAAACCAAAATATAACGTACTCCTCTGAGCTCAGCCTTGATCTTGTAGAGGACTTTGAGGACAGGGTTGGCTGACTCATTCTGCATCTCCACCAGCTCGTCCAGCTGCTTGGGGACTTTTATCCTGTTGACCTGCAGGGGGAGACACTGATCTGTCAGCTGCTGAGGCACTGCAGCAGCTGGAGGGATGACGGTGTGCAGGCCGGTGTGTACCTTTATATATACAGTGTATGGTGTGTACTCACAGTGAACACTCTCTCAGGCTCTCCACGGGCGCGCATGTTGGTGTCGTGGATGTGTTTGAGCACCATCCAGGCCTCGTCATGTTTACCATTCTACGAGACAGACACGTGTTATGAATACACATCAGGACCTCCCATTCATCTTCAATAGGCTGACTCCAGTCAACCATACTGGCTTGTATGAGTCTCTCATATTATTACTCAGGTTGGCTTTTCATTTTGGAACATTTTACTAATAAATTTTTATATTTTTCATATCTGCTAATGAGTTGTACTGTAAGTGACACAAATGCAAGGATTTTCCAAGTCCGACAACAGAGCCCATACATAAAGAATTATAGGCTATTGGCGATAACTTAAGCCCTGTTTTTTTGCTTATTTCTTGCAAATTTGGGCATTTGAAATTATGCCAAATTAGCTATTAGAGGTCTACGTTGTAATGTACCCATGGATGCATACACAAATATTATGGGGTAACTTTAATATGAAGGAAACTTGGTCGTTTCTAGACCTATTTATGGACAGTAGTAATCTAAAATTATGTGTATCATGTTGGTACAATTCAATTTTGACCAAGGTATTGCCTCTATGAGTTGTGTGTGTCACAGTATCTGATGTAACTCCAACTGCTGACCGTTTTTGTGAGATTGCCAAATCAGCAGCCACACTATAATAACTAACTTCCTATTGTTTTTTAAATGTCTGCATGAGACTGTCCATTTGAAACTCTCCTTTTAAACCTCACAGAGTATTTTTGTCTTAAATCTCTCCCTTTCACAGCTCCCCTTCAACTTTCCACTCACCCCTGAAAAAGATGGACTCGCAATTTGAAAACCTCTGCATTTATGCAAAGATGCATGTGAAATTAAACCATTTCACTGCATTTATATCACATAAAGAATGAAGCGCTATTGGAATCAAAATGCTACTTTACAAACATTTGTGATATTCTCTGCTTTCCATAAGAACCATTGTCATTAAGGTTATAATGGTGCTGCCAAGTATACTGCGTCTGTTTCTCTTACCTCCAGTAAGAAGCGGGGGCTTTCAGGCATAAAAGTGAGAGCGACCACTGCAGAGACACACGGCAGCGCACACACCACCACAAACACTCTCCAGCTGTGGAACTGATAGGCTGAACCCATGCTGAAACTCCAGCCTGCACAAAGAAGCAGAAACACACACATGGTTCAATTGTAATGCCATGAAAAGACATACTAACATCTAATTTAAAGGTCCCATGTCATGCTTTTCCGGTTATACCCATCCCCTTGTGTGTTATGAAGCTTTTTCTGCATGTAAACGGTCTGCAAAGTCACAAACCCTCAAAGTACACCCTGTAGCGAGTAAAACTCTAACACAGAAAAGACCTGTGTATGCTGCCCCAGAACGCCTCGTTGGAGATTTCTCATTTTCCATTTTTTTCTTATTGGTCACAGTGACATAACGACTACCAAATGGACCAATCTGTGGAGCTCCTCACACACACACACACACACACACACACACTCACTCAGCCTTATCTTTTCTCAGCCGCGCAACTCCGCAGAGTTTCGTCGGCACACACACTCACTCAGCCTTATCTTTTCTCAGGCTGTGAGTGTGTGGCGAACTGTGTGGCGAACAGCCTGGCTGTGAGTGTGTGTGTGTGTGTACTCAGGCTGAGTTCCGCGGTGTCTCGCTGTCTCGCAGACCCCACGCAGCAACCAGGAAACGACACCAGTAATCCAGCTCACACTGTCCGCTCCTCGAGCCTCAAAGGGCGGAGCAGCGAGCCCCGCAACATCCCGCCAACACGGCACCCAGACCCCACGCAGCATTCTCATCTGTTTGTCATTACTGGTGTCATTTTCTGGTTGCTAACAAACGCCATTGTAAAACATAATCACTGATGTTCCGCTGTAACGGTGGTGGACTCATCAGAACAGAGTGGGCGAGCTGACCAATCAGAGCACATTGGGCTCACAGGGAGGGGGGGGGCAGGAGCTCCCAAAAAGGCGTGTATAGGACAGAGAGTGAATACACATACTATACAGAGATGCTGTATGAGAAACCAATGTGATTGTGGAACATTGAACAATGTAAATCTATTTTAGTAGACCTCAACAATGGAATTATGATCAGTAGAAATGGCCATGGGACCTTTAAAGCTTTTTTTCTTCAAGCTTACACGGTTTTCAGTCATGGATTAACATAGTACTGTTTCTCTGCCACAAGCTATAAATTAATTAACCTGCAGGTCAACTATCTGCGTCCCCAGTGTAACGTCTGTATATACAAAGTCCTTAGTCTCTCTCTCCTGCTGTCCTTTTCTCACCTGAATCCTTTTATTAATTGCATTTGAAAATGACTGTGTCTTTTAGAAACTTAAATAAAGTCTATTTAGTTGTTAAAGTAAAGCTTCTGTAGGTTGTTGTTGGATGTGTTCTTCGTGTTCAGATAGAAGTAGGAGTTTGAGTGTTTCACCACCGTAAAGAGAGAAGCAATATGTTGGGTTTGACCTTTTCAGCACCACGGAGAGAGACACAGAGAGGCAGAGTGCTCCGCTCAGGTTTAGTTATTCAAAGACCTGCTTTACTAAAAGTACAACGTTTCCAATGTAAGTTTTAAAAGGATGTGTCTAGAAAAGGACTTTAGATATCAGTGAGAATAGGAAACTAACAGGTCAGACTCAGTGCTGATATTTTGACATGTCGTTATCAAAATTGTAGGTGTTACTAATGAAATTGGAAAAATGGTTCTGTGGGTTATATCAGCAACAGCATCTGGTATTTTCCATTGAGTCCCATTTTACATTTCAAAGGTAAAACTTTTACTGTAATTTCTTTACTTAAACTGTTGTGCAATTGCAAAGTATATATATTATATACAAATCTATTAAGCTCTTTGCACATTTATACAGTAGATATTTATGATGGATATGATATCAAACTATATATATCAAAAATACAGAAAAATCTATATCAGAGTGTGTGTGTGTGTGTGTGTGTGTGTGTGTGTGTGTGCTGCTCCAGCCTGTACCAGTACAAACCTCATTAGAGGGATTATAGCTTTAATGGACTGGAGGGGATGGCTGACTGATTCAGATACTCAGCAAGATTTATGTTCCTATTCTACAGAAAGTGAACACACACACTCACACGCACACACACACACACACACACACACACACACACACACACACACACACACACACACACACACACACACACACTGTCCTTGGCCATTGTTCGATGCTGTGACACACATTTTAATACATGTCAATGAACACACACTATTTCCCCACTATTTCCTACTGTATCACACTCATTCCTAACAGTCTTAAAAAGACACACACACACACACACACACACACACACACACACACGCACACACACACACACACACACACACACACACACACACACACACACACACACACACACACACACACACACACACACACACACACACACACACACACACACACACCGTTTTCTGGCCTTTGTCCACCGATCAATGCAGGGAGCACTGCGGCGGAACCTATTACCCACACACCGCTGAATCTTGGAGGAAAAGTGTGTTAAAACACTGGCGTCTAATCAATTGGCCTCAATGATGAGCCTCAGCTGGAGCTCACACACTCACATAAATAAAGTTTGTGACAAGTCAAAGCGATCCTTTACATGGAAACTTTTAATTTGAGGGTCATTTGAGCCACAAATGATATACTAATACTTGTCTCATGAAAGTTCTTGTAAGCCGGTGCCAGTAAATAAAAGAAATGGAAGGGAGAGTTATTACCGGAATTATGTTTATAGATTTTTAGATGTGGATTTATCAAAATAAATGACTTATATTCTACATTGCTGTGTACAATGACGCGGCAAAAACACATATTTTCAAATTGAATTAGTGTCCACTAGTTTCATAGTGTAGTTTATATTGGATCTGTGACTTTATTCTAGATAAGAACACCACTTGTGTGAGGTACTTAATCAACCCTTTATGTCACACTCAGAGACAGGGTCCTGATGGCCGGGGTCCCAAAGCCAACTCTTCACTTTCCTTTCAAACCTTTTCATTCTTTACCTTTCTCTTTGTTTCCCCTCACCATTTACCATTTCCCTTCAGCCCTCTGTTGTATCCCCTCCCATTTCGATTATCCCTGACACAAGCTACATAAATCAAGCGCCCCCTCCACCTCTCCATCCAGCTTGTCCTCCCAATCTCTTCCTCTGCTCCTCCATGTTCACCAACCCAGATGGATTTCATTTAGCTCATGTTGTTCTTATCTTCTCACATACACTTTCTATTCTGTTATCACCCAGCTCTCAGTTTTTAGGGTTTCTTTGTTATCAATCAATAACATTTGACTAGTATAGCCCAATATAAAAAATGACACATTTGTCTGATGGGTCCTTATGCCCTCGCAGCAGACAAGGAAAAACTCCCAGAGGAACCCCACAGTTAAAGGGGACCTATCATGCAAAATGCATGTCAGGGAACTCACCAAGTGTCAGAAAACACAACCCTCTCTCTTTTCCTCCATACCCAAATCTCTAAAAATGGGGCTGCAGCGGATCTGATACAGATTTGAAATTGTTCTGACGTCAGAAACGGGGAGCTCCGCCTATATGGGCAACTCTCCACCTATCAGGGGAATGGGGGGTTGGGCCACGGCCACGGCCATTGCCGCTCGAAAGCGCTGGAGACGCTGTAGTACATATGCCAGGCCTGTAAGTGGCGCTGTAGTCTGCCACAAAAGCAGCGAAGAAGACTTCTCACAGAATTAGCCCTTGCAAAAATAGGGCTGGAAAAGAGCAAATAGAGCGAAATGAGGCATGGCTAAAATGCATGATCTGTTTGGTATTTTGAAAAAAAAACTTCACAGACATGTTTTATATAGGTATGGCCCTACAATATATTATTAAAATATAGCATGATAGGTCCACTTTAATATAAGGGGAGAGCAACAGAGGATGGGTCCCTTTCCAAGGATGGACAGATGTTCTATAGATGGCATATGTACAGTTAAGAAAATAAGAAAAAACGTGCAACATAGACAACCCAAACCATCACAATTATAATGTGAACGTATAAAATAGAAAAAGGATTGATCCAGGTGGCTGGCCTTTTAATTTTTTTCTCCTCCTTTATTTAGTTTTACCACCAATACTGTCACATAAAATAGCATCAAATGAACACTGAGTATACATTGTGGACCTTGTAAAGTTCACAGTATGGTCCTGTTATGGTTGAAAAACGAAATTGCTGTAATAAGAACTACTGCAGTTCTGACTATTCTGAAGAGTTTAAAAAGCCTTCATGTGCATATCCAATGTGTAGGCAGACATATGCTTCAATGCTTTTTCTTCTGCTGCGATTGTCAGAGCTCCACCTACACTGCCACCTGCTTTGTGTCTGTGTGCACCCTGGAGGGCCTTTCTAAATACAGCCCTGTGATTCTGGAAGTATTTCAACCTGCATGTTATGTATCGTGTGGTGGTCTATACGCACCACATCAGCAGGGAGCATCATGAAGACAAGGAACGTACTGCAGAGTCGAACGTTATTGCCCTCTCTGTTTGCAGTAATGTTTAAAGCAGTGATGCGAGTGACTCCTGACAGTGGGAAACCTCTGCAGTATGTAACCTCGTCGCTGCAGCTAAAAGGAAAATGTACATTCAATAATTGTACCCTGTTTCTAAGGCTCTGACGGAGAACAGTCTCAAACTTTCTGCTGCGTCATCCAGCAAGATGCTGCAGCGGCCAATCAAAAACATGCAAGAGCACATTCCTGGAAAACTACCTTGCAACGTAAATGCTTTATTTTGTCTATTTTATGAGTATTGCCCATCGTTACATTACAGTACATTACGTTACATGTCACTTGTTAGACGCTTTTATCCAAAGCGACTTACATACATTCAATACTGTGGGCAGTCCCCACAGGAGCCATTTAGGGTGACGTGTCTTGCCCAGGGACACAACGACATGCTGACTGCAGTGGGGATTGAACCAGCACTGGTTCCCCTGATCCGAAGATCAACGCACTAGCCCACTGAGCCACAGCCTCCCCCATACAGTGTTTTGGCATTGGAACGTTTTAAAAGGCATTTAAAGGCATATATTATGCTCATTTTCATGTTCATATTTGTTTTTTGTGCCTCTACGGTGACATGTCTACATGCTTCCATTTTAAATAGGTCTTTATTTTTCTCATACTGCCTGTGCTGCAGCACCTCTTTTCACCCTCTGTCTGAAACCAGAGCCCAGTCTGCTCTGATTGGTTAGCTGGCTGGCTCTGTTGTGATTGTACCGCTTAGAGATGTCCCGCCCCTTAGCAAATCACATACAATGTGTTGGAGCGCTAGCCAATAGGAGAGTGTTACATAGTGATGTCACTATGTTTCAAAAGTAACCAAAGGAGTTTAGACTTTGCAGACCATTTACATGCACTAAAACCTACAGTATATAAAACACTACAGGAAAGGGAAACCCCCAAAAGCATAAGTGGGCCTCTTTAATAGAAGTTCTTATGATTGACAACATTCTGTCTCGAAACTTTAGGAACATTTGATGAGATGATGAGATGATCGCTGTAATGCTAATAAGGAAAAAAGTCACTCATGACTCCAAGTGCTGTTTGACACTCTCATCAGTGTGAAATCTTTATGACTGGTGCATTAGGTCGGCGTGGTTACTCACCATAGTGTGGGATGATGGCCCAGGCCATGGCTGAGGCGTAGATTCCTCCGATCATCCAGAACATGCACAGCCAGCTCAGATGCTCTCCTCTCTTCTCCCGAGCCAACACCTCCGCAAAGTAGGAGAACACGATGGGCACCGCTCCACCAATCCTGCAAATACAGTTTGTTGTAATTAACCATGTTGGCTGCACGCGCCAACCGTCATTGTGATGATATGAATGTGTGTGATGACAAACATTTATAACTGATTTATTGTTACTGGAAATAATTAGAGTTTGCAGCTGCATTTCTCCATTTGCCATTTTGAAAAATGTGAACATGATCTGTGAATGTGAAACAAATCCACACAACTCATTATCTCAAGTGATGAAGAACTGAACATAACGACTTGTGACTATGCAATTAGATTTTCAAGAATATAGATGTTTAATCATCAAGGAAAAGCGTGATTTTGCCAGCGTGTCTTGTCACTTTATTTTGTCATAACTTTAAAAATAAGCTATGATCGAGCTGCTCATGTGTAAACTAATAAACAGGACAAATGACATCATGTCACCAGAAAGCTCCCAAATAAAGCACCTTGTTTTGGCTAATTCTCATATAATTATGTAGCAGCAATACTTTAGCTCAAAGGCACAATGAGTTGGACTTCAAATGTCACCTATAATGCAAAATCCACTTTTTCATGTCTTTTATACATAAATGTGTCCCCTAAAGAGATCCTAAAAGTTTCAGGAACAAAGACCCCCTCTCTTTTTGTCCTGATCCATCTAGAAACCTGTCTGAAAAAGAGCTGATCAGATTTTGGCCACTTTGTGATGTCACAATGTTTTTATGGGTTGTGCAACCATTAGCCAATAACCAACCAAGGTAACACACCCACCTTATGACCTGAATCTCCTCCTAGAGCACCATTGTGTTTTGTTTTTTTAAACCAATCATCTCGCAGAGGGGTGTGGCAAGCAGCAGCTCATTAGCATTTAAAGCTACAGACACAGAATCAGCACTTCTGAAACAGGGCTGAAACAGAGGGGTTTACGGCATGCTACAATGATCGGTTTGGTGTTTCAGCCAAACTCTTTAGAGACATGTTTGTATATATCTGAGACCTATAATATATTGTTGAAAAAGAAGATAATAGGGGACCTTTAACAAACTGTTGAACTCAAACTATGGACAACCTCTGTTTAAGTTGTATCCTAATAAATGTTCCGTGTGCCTTTCAAAATGTGTGTGTATGAAAATATTGTTTTTCTGTTTTGGATGAAGAAAATGAGAAAGCCCCATATTAGCACACAGGATATTACAGTGTAATTAAATCCCTGATGCATCATCCCTTTGACTTTTCCTCAAACTTCCGTGTTACATTATTTCACAGGATGTTGGATAAATGTTGTTATTCAGTCAATCGACCCGTATTAATACAATTAGATGGTGTCAAGCGACTCATGTGTTAATGTGACTGAACTGTGGAGCAGCGTCAGCAGGAGCCCATCTGTGTCTGCAGTTTGATTCACAGCTTCAGAGTTTTTAGAATAAATTAGAAGAGAAGAAAGTGATGCAGTTAGACAACAATAAGTTATAAATGTCAAGAGAGAAAGTTTTACTGCCACATAAGATGAAAGGTATACTCTATTTATGATTTCATTGTTGTTTATAGTTGGACTCTCATGCCCAGTTAGCATTAGAAAACAATACAATATATGTTTAGCTTGTTTTACTATACATCTTTAGACTAACGCTCAGCTATTTTTCAACTGTATCCCAATGTTTTTATCTTCTTTGATTTTAGGATGAAAAAATATAGATTTGGAAATGTATGTTTTTGAATAATTAAAATGTTTACATATTATCTTCTGAGTATAAATGTTTTTTCTTTGTATTTTACATAAAATTAGTTTTACAGGTGACTTGTGTCGCATTTCCATTGCAGGGCCTCGCTTGGCTTAGTACGGTATAGTTAGGCCTTGTTAGGCCTTGTTAGGACTGGCTCACTTTATGCTGCGTTTCCATTACAGTTTAGTAGCTGGGGCAGTAACTATAGTAACGCAGTGTAGGCGGAGCCGTGACGTCATCTTCAATGAGAACCACAGAAAACCAACATCAGCCGTTAGCTGTTAGCACTCAGAGCTCACAGCTCCTCATATCTGTTCAGAAACTAGACAAAAGTCAAATAAGTACAAACCACAGACTGCCTGTGTCATGGTGAATACAGTCGCTGGTTTATTTATGTCTGTATAGGCCGTTGTTGTGAGTGTGGACGGTCGGAGCATATACTGCGTTAGCTTAGCCAATCTCCATTTAGAAAACACGCATTTTAAAAGGTTTTTCGCCTGCAGACTTGTCAAAGCATTAATTCATGGTTTTTACTAACCGGTATCAGTATGTTGTTACTTCGGCATCATTTTGAAACGTGTATTACAATTAAATCACGGTAAAATATGTTCATTTTGTTGTAGTTGTAGCCCCCTGTCCAGGGACAACAGATAGGAGAAATAGCCTCCTGGTTAACTCAGGTGCATTTACAGAAATGCTTTCCTGTGTACTTATATCTTAAAGGGGACCTATCATGCAAAATGCACTTTTGTACGTCTTTTATACATGAATATGTGTCCCCGGTGTTCCAGGGAACTCACCAAGTGTCAGAAAACACAACCCTCTCTATTTTCCTCCATACCCAAATCTCTAAAAAAGGGGCTGCAACAGATCTGATAAAAACTGATCCAGATTTGAACACTGTCCTGACGTCAGGACAGTGGCGCTACGGCTATTGGGCCAACTCCACCAATCAGGAGGAGACAGCCACGGCCATTGCCGTTCGAAAGCGCTGGAGACGCTGTAGTACATATGCCAGGCCTGTAGGTGGTGCTGTTCTCACAGAATCTGCCCTTGCAAAAACAGAGCTAAAAAATGTCAAATTGAGCAAAATGAGGCATGGCTAAAATGCATGATCTGTTTGGTATTTTGAAAAAAAAAAAGTATAAATATGCCTTATATAGGTATGGTCCTACACTATATTATTCAAATATAGCATGATAGGTCCACTTTAAGTCATCTCTGTATGGACACCACGCTAAAGACATTCTGTGTTTGGCCAATTCAAAAAGTCTGAATGAACTTGTCCTCCTTATCAAGTAAGCTTATGTTATTGAGGTACTGAAACAAGCAGAATATAAAGAAACAGCAACAACAATCGATACTGGATTGTGTTTCTCCCAATTGAGGTTGTAAATAAAATAATAAGAACAAATACTGTTCACCTAGAAATCTGTTCAGGCAGACAAACCAGGAAGAAACGTAACATCCTTAAAGTAAATATATAAATCTCTTTTACTTGCAGACAAATGAGAATTAAGTGATGAAATAAAAGCTGCAAATCAGGTACCACTGTCAGCACAGGGTGATTAAACGTGTGCGCTGGCGACAAGCTGGACTTATCGGTTGTAATGGATGAAATGGAGATATGTTGACACATCATTTTCCTGTACTGTTCATTTTAGCACCATTAGAAAAAACAAAGACAGATTCTGATAAATAAACGGACTCTAAAGCAGTCTGAAAATAATCACTTCTAATTGTTCTGTTTTTGTTTTAATCAACAATATACAGTCAACCTTTTGGAGGCACTATGTCATATGGCACTTGACCTCTTTGTTATATAATATTATTATTTGATATTTTACTTACATTTATTTTGTATAGTTTATATATCCTATTTTATCCTTCTTTCTTTCTTTTTATGTTTATATAACTTCTTCTTTATTCATTTTAAAATGAAAAAAAACTATTTCCCCTGGGATAATTAAAGTATATCTGATTATGATTATAGACTTCCATCAGTCATAATAATTGGTCAGAATTTAAAACATATTGGTAAAAACTCTCCTATAATTAGAACTGTTTCATATGATTGACTGTTTATTGGCTTGCTCAGTAGCTAGAAGTGTGATATGGACCTTTTTGAGTTACATATGATCTGTGATGTCAGATCTCAAGATGGGAGGGTTTGTCATTTATCCGTTTACTACGATCAGCCAAGCAGACCACACCAACGCTTTAATAGACAGATGTTCATTTACTGTGCTGTGCTCTTTTTTGCTAACGTTTTTGTTTTGCTTCGTTCTGTCGCTCCCTTCACTCTCAAGGGATAAAGGGCTCATAAAAGGCAGTTCAAATATCCTCTTGACATGTTCTTAGACTTTAGAGGAAAGAAGACAGCAGAGGAAGTGTTGTTAAAGCCCTCAGAGGGGATTTAGTCATAGAGGAGTACAGGGTGTAAATTAGAAAAATATTCTAGTACGTACCCGAAGCCAGACACCATGCGGCAGACGAGGAACATGCTGTATCCTTGGACAAAAGAGGAGAGGAAGGCGAAGAAGCCGTTGACGGACATGGAGATCAGCAGGCACTGTTTACGGCCCAGCTTGTCTGACAGGCCGCCCCAAAAGAAAGCTCCAAACATCATCCCCAGATACACAACGCTGCCTGGAGACACGGAGAGAGAGGGATGCAGAGAAAGATGTGAATTATCACAACCACCAGGAGTCAAATGTTTGTCAGTGAGCGAATAACACTACACTTTGGAAAAAAGGGAGACAGTTTTCATTGAAACTAATATCTAACCTTGCCTCTCTGCTATTTGATTCTTAGCAGGTCATGCACTGTTTTCATGTACAGTCATTTTTCAGCGGTGAAAAGAACTGCCTGTCTGAACACAAAGTTCAACGGTATGAGAAATATTAGAACAGAGAAGTTGAAAGCATAAAACTAACAGTTGAAGGATGCTAAACTGGCACAAAGAGGAGAGGAAAACGGCAGGTTCAGAGCATAATAAAGCAGATTTTAGCAGCTAGATGGCCCCTTTGTTTAGTGTTTTATATTGTTTTAGTGCTGAGGATCGTTCTCAAAGTGCCATTTTCTCCGCAAAATCTACATTTCTATACAACCAATATAGTGAAGCATAGCTGCAGCACATAATACTCTGAGCCAGTTTCAAAAGTACTTGTCCATTACACAAGAAAGACATGTTGTTGTACTGTTAGATTGGTCTGACAAGCATTGCATTAGTTTTGGACACACACAGATACAAGGATTGCACTTAAAACAAACACAACTGTGACACACCAGCTGTAGCATTTAGTGTTGTTTTCCAAGTGCATCCGGGGAGTACCGTAGCTCAGATGGAAGTTGTTTCATTTATTTCCTCCTCTATCGACAGAACACTGAGAGGTTTTATAAATAGCAGGGATGGGATCGATTAGTTGAGCTTGGCTTGGAGCACAACAACATTGTAAATCTACTTCATACTGCTCTGGGTTTTGACTGTACTGAAGGCATAGTTTTTCTATTTCCTAACTCTTAATTATGATGTTCAGTGTGTCTGGCTTTGGCCGGGTCAGTATCTGGTAGCAAGCATTGTGGCAACACAATGATAAACGTATAAAAGGATTACGTTACAACAGCTGCTCAATGGGCATTAATGTGTTCCTGAGGCTTTCGTTTGCATTGGAGGTGTGTTTGCATTTCATTTGATCTTTTGACTGGTATCACTGTCTGTAAACCAAACAATAAAGTTTTGACTCCATTTAAATTCTGTATGACCTCATCCACAAGTAAACAGGTATTTTTTTGTATCATGTTTTTTACTCTATTGCCCATTTTTCAACTCTTTTCCTCATAACAAAAGCTCATAACAGTGCACACTTTTTTTATCAAGCCAAAACAAACTCCCCGTCTACACATCAACACAGAAACCAGAGTTCACCCTGGCAGGAATACAAAAAGTTTTTCAGTTACCTGAAACGCAAATTTGGTTTGAAAGGAAGGCCAAATGAATAGAGAAAGCTATGTTTTTTAAAACACTACGTGTGGACTAACCCTGATACAATTGCTTTGTAAGTGTTAACTAATACTTCCTATAGTAACTGTGGGGTAAACGGAGCTGTAGTTGACCTCTCTAGTTGGGCATTCGTCTCTCACTGCTGCTTTTTTACGTAGGAAGTTGTGGTCGTTTCTCTTTCTGTCCCCGGCAGCATAGAGAAGGCTGGTGAAGAATAGGTGGGGGTTGTCAGGCCTATAAATAATACACTTTACTCACTATGTGCTAATCAAAATGCTAATGTGTTTTGAGGAGGAGATGCCATTGTTTATGGAGGCAGCAGCAGAAAGAGCGCAGACAGAGGAGAGGACGCCTTTTCTGTTTTTTCTTGCTTTGTATTCCCCCCTCTGTGTTTGGGGTGATGGGACAGATACGGTGAAAGTAGAGGGGCTTATCGAGCAGCGCAGACATGATGTTGAGAGCTGGTGATTCATTACAGGTGACAGCCACTGGATCTATCTGTGCACCTTGCTGCAGGGAGGCTCTCCTACTGGCAGCACGATATAAAGAGCAAGCTACTGCAAGCTTATCAATATCAAAGTGAATATCAAAACAGCTGCACAAACTGGAGACATCTTTTGATGGTGTAACTACACACAAACAATGAATCTGAACGCATGTACTCAAAAAGATGCTATCTGGTAACTCCCACTCATTTGTTTTATGGCTCTCCATACACTGGGGTTGTATCCGTAATAAAAGGGGAGGGTAGTGGGGGTGATGGGGCATCTGAGACGCATTGTAAATCTTTCTGAGATTGGATTTGTGATTTATACAGGGTTCAGACTCAGGTCAGACCTTAAAATCTCTGCTAGCCTCAAGATATGCAGGGCTGTTATGTAAAGCAGTGGAGAACAGGGAAACTATATCTGATGTTCACCAGCACAATTAAAACAAGAGAATAAAATCAGTTTTATACTATCGACCTCAAACTGGTAAGTCCTCAAAAAATAAGACAATTGACGTCTAACCCGTCTTTACGAAGAAGGGACCGTACTTGATGGTAACACATATTGACAAGCACTCAAGAGTCCAACAAATTACTACATTTATGTGGTTAAGACAAAATAAAAATGTGTGTGTAAGACAAAGGAAAGATGCTCTGGGTCTCGGCGAGCACAGTTGGGAAGTGATTCAAAAAAGAGTAAAGAGAGGACCCAAAAAGTCATCAGGATACATTCTCTGTGAAACATAGATCTACGTTTTGCTAGTCCAGCTGGTATTTCTATTGATATTACAAGGGATATGTGAACATTTTTTGTAATATGAAGAGAGAGGTGATTGAAGATGAGAAATTATTGTATATGTATGTATAAATGTAAATGTAAGTAGGAATAACTTGCATAATGACAATCATTGATCAAGTAAGGGGTGGGAATTAATAAGCATTTGCTTCCTCCTACTCCCTTTCGGACACATATGATTTTTTTTTAAATTATTATTATTGTTATTAATATGAAGACTTTTTTTGTTGAATATATAAATATTATCGTGAATGTGGATAAATACTGTATTTTAACAATACGGTATTCTGTTTTTCACATTTGTTATTTTTTATTTGTTATTTTTTTTTTTTATCTGTTCGAAATAAAGATTGAAATGAAATGAAATATAGTTTTGTGTTATTCCTGCCTTATCTGAAACAAGAGAAACAGGAATGGCAGGGGAGAAAGAGACGGGATGATTGAAAGCAAGCAGAAAAGGGCCAGATTCAAACCCAGCCAGCTGCAGCACACGCCTTTGAATGTTCTTCCCTGATGAGCCACTGGGGCGCCTTTGACCTGCTGGGGCCATTATGAAAAGGGCTGCAAAGTATATGCATCTTTCGGGGACCACAAAGTCTGCATTTAGGTCCTTGAGATATTTCCATCTGGAGTGAAGGACCAACACACCAAGATTGCGCTCCTAAAACATATTTTCCAACAAAGCCCTGCAGGTATAGACTTGCAGAATATAAAATGATCTCTACCACAAGAGGCTAGTTTGAATATAAACTGAGTTTTCCCTTTAAACACATGTGTGAAATTGCCCAGCAGGAACACTGTGGTTTGCACTAACATAATAACTCTCACTAAAGTTTTACTGAGCGCACCTGAACAGCAGTGCTATCTTTTCCCTAAGCAAGAGCTCCCAGCAGACAGAGTCTCCGGTCTTTCTAACGCAGGGGTGTCAAACTCAAGGCCCGGGGGCCAAATCCGGCCGGTGACTTCATTTTCTGTGGCCCCACAAGAGCTTGCAAAGAATATTATATGTTTATTATACGGTTGTTTATTATACGGTTACATGATGATTTACAGAAGCACGTTGCCCATAAACTACATGTCCCACAATGTATCTCAAATTAGACTTTTTTCTCAGAATTTGACTTTATTTCTTGTAAATATGCCTTTTTTCTCAGAATTTGACTCTTTTTTTTAAATGTCACTTTTTTTTTTTTAAATGTAATTTTTTTTTTTTTTTTTTTTTTTTTTTTCTCCAGAATTTGGCTTTTCTTTTAAAATCATTTTGTGACATTCTCACTGAAGAGACTTGCAATTATTTGCCCCAGACTTCTGCTTTCAGACGTAGTTAATTATGAAGTTATTACCCTATCTCAGGGGTTCCAAAAGTGGGGAGTCGCGACAGGCGATAGGGCCTATCTGATAATAATCCAATGCAGAGGCAATAATGTAATATAATACATTATTTTATATATATATTTTTTTTTATATAGTCTTAAAGTTACAACCGGCCCTTTGAGTGCAGCCATAATGCTGATGTGGCCCGCAGTTAAATTGAGTTTGACACCCCTGTTCTAACGGAACATTCACTGCAGTTCATCTCTGCAACCAAAGGGATTATTCCAGATAACTCTTAAATTATCTCCACGCATGCTGCTTTCTTTCCTATGGTAATTAGCTCTTATGTATAAGTGTACTTCTCTCTTGACACCATTCTGCTCTGTTTTCTCTCCACACCACCATGCAGTGTCCATGGATGAGAGGAGACAGACAGCAGTCAGTAGCATCAAGCGCTAGTTTCCTCAGAGGGAACATCTAGCACTTTGTGTGAGAGAGATTCCCAGAGGATTGTTGTGATTGACAGGTGGGTTACAGCAGGGAATGAGAGCGGAGGAGGGGGAAGTAAGAGGGGTGGGGGGGACACAAGGGAGCGCAACATATTCCTTGGGTATTAATTACGAAACCTGCTGATTTGTTTTCGTAATGCTGCAGTTCACTCAAAGATATTCAGACTTCTGTCCTATTCAAGTTCATTCACTATATTTGTTTACAGTACAAGAACAAATAATAACATCCAAACTTGATCTACACACACTCACATACAACGCAATCCACTATCATAGAGGAAATATTATTAATTATAATTATTAATACATTTTGTGGTCAGAAAGAAGACTAGAAACAATTACTTATTATTTGTTGCCTAAACCTAAAAACTAATTGTTTTGAAGGTGCTTATGCTCATATTCACATTAATCTCCCGCCCCGGACACACAAGCACACGGTTTGATTGGCTAGCGCTTGTACTGGCATATGATTTGATTGGCTGGCGCTTCCATCGACGCTTGAAAAGTTGAACTTTTCTCAACTTTCAGCGCGAGCAACGGAGGCAAAGCGACGCGACGGAACCACAATGCAGTTCGGCAAAGCCTGATGTCACCCCATTCAAAGTGAATGGGAAGCGTCTCTGTTGAAGCACGCGACGGAACCGTGTGGATGCTACGTTACATAGTGATGTCACTATCTTACAGGAGTAAACCAAGTTTAAATGGCCCCAAAGTGAAGTTTCACTTTAGCTGTGAGTGCACCAGATGGAAAACAGTTAACAAATAACCCGAGGATTTTTCTTATCAGGTGAGTTCATCAGTCAATCATTTTCATAAAGATTTCATATATTCCTTAAAGGTTTTCACCCACACCTTATTTTTCTACACTTGAATTGATGAACATGATGAATTATTGTTGCACACAAAGTAGTGTCTTTGCCTGGACAGTGAATGGGAGAATAGAGCCTGTGGTGGTGTTGAGAGGAAACACAGAGTGCAGGGACTGAAGAGATGGCAGTGCATGTTGTTGTCCCTGGATCTTTTAATTAGCTAACCTCAGGCGGCAGCAGAGCCTTTTTATTACAGCATTAGCTTCTGATAGTATTTGTGATTGCACATGTGAATCAAGTGCAACACACAATGCAAAAAAGATTGCCATTTATTACAGAAAACCCCTTCCTCTTATGCAGATATACTCCTTGAGCTCTTCACTCTGTGCTACACCTGCAGCTTGGCTTCATGCAAGCAGGATGGAATTTTAAGCAAACATCCTCAAAATGCTAGTGCAGGAAAACACCAGCAGATAAATGAAAGCCATATGTTAAAGGGAAAAAGAGGGGAAAGCGTTGATGTAAAGCTGCGCCCCCCCCTCTCTTTCTCGGGGGAGGTACGTGAGCCAGTCTACCATAGCTAAACTGCAGTGGAGCACAATGCTGCAGAGATTAAACTCCAGCCCATATCTTCAGATGGCCTGCTACAAGACACGCAGAGAGTGAAGAGAGGGATTACAGCAGGGTGGCAGAGAGGACAGACGAGAGCACGCAGAGAAAAGAAACCCTGGAGCGTCTCATATCTGAACAGCATCTCACCTTTTTATATAATGCCAAAGAGATATCTGTCTTTTGAATAAGGCACAGTATTTATTTATCGGAGACACGATGCCTGCGATGCATGCTAATGAAGGAATGCCTTTACAGTAAGAGGGAATTCAGAAAAATAATGTTTTATCAAAATGTTAATGTAAAGGGACTTTATTGCAGCTTTTAGTACCTTTTTGAAAGAAATAAAAGGGCACTTTGGGTCATTTTTTCATTTTGATACTGGGTCATGGGTATAGTAGACACTATGTTTAAGGAATGAACTAGGGAATCTGAAGTTCGGGTTTGTTTAACTTATAGTTAAGGTTAATTTCTCTTCTATTATTTGCATGTTTCTTAAATATGCTTTTCAAAAAGGTATTAATGTTGTTCACTGTTGATTCATTATCAAATATCCACAAATGTGTCCAAATAAATTCCAATAAAAGGTGGATATTATGCTTCACCCCCCCCCGCCTCACACAGCTTTCCTGGCAGAAGTCCTGACCTCAAAATGACTCAGCTGCACATGGCTGGAAAACCCCTTCATGCTTAGTCAATATCTATCTGTGTGTGAGTTGCTGATGTAACACAGAACATGATCCAGCCAACAAAATGAAAAATTCTACCAGCCTGCAAAACTCAATACTCCTGTAATTACTTCTGCTGGTAGTATTACATGTGCTTTATACTGTATTCTTTCATTTTCTCGAAGGAATTATTTATTGTGCACTCATTATAATAAAAGCCCAATACGTAATTTGAGCTAAAGATTGTGCTGTAACCAGATGTGTCTGTGTTTGAAGCTCATTTCCTCAATTTCATTATTCCTCTCATGAGTCTTTTCCCTGATAGATATCCACTGAGGAGCCTCTAATTGACCACTTATAGAGTCAATGACCTTCATGCAGAAAAACACCAATGTGTACTGTGCAATGGTTCATCCTCATATAAAACGGAGTATACACACATCATGTATTAATGCAGTGTGTGAGTGAGTTGTTCAAATGAGTCATTCCTTCTATTTTTCTCCCTCCTGTCTCCCACTGAGAGATGAGTCAGAATATGGGTGAAATCTTGGTGAGAAATAAGCCTTTCTCCTCCCAAGAGACAAAAACAGTAACCATTCTCTTGTAGGTTATAAAACTACAACCAAAAATAAAATATGTGTTATCTTTATTTTTACCTTTAAATGAGAGTGATAGGCGACAAAAATACTTAATTATGTAAATGATAGGAATGGTCTTTGCTGTGCAGCTATTTTTGGTATGATGGAGACAAATTATGAAGCCAAATTGCGCACAAACATACAAACACATTAGTGGCATTCATAACTTTTCCAGAGTGTGGGAGAGATCCGTTTACAGTAGCTAAACACACCTCCCACTCATGCATCCAAATACCTGGTGCCATGACAACCCACTGGTAATCTCCTAAAGCAATTCGATTAAGTTGAAAGTGTCACCCACCACTACTCTCCATGCATTTCATAAACACACACACACCATAAGCAGGGTGCTAGCAGGGAAACTGATTCCTCTAGTTTGTACCCCAAGTCTTCCTACCAATCTGTCACTTCGTGTTATTAGTATCCAACTCCATGCCTGCAGAGTTTACTTTCACAAGGCGTCTGCTATAGGAGTACCAGATGAAATTCAGATGGTTCAGTACATATAAAAGTCTGGACTTCTCACTGTCACTCACCAATAAGATATTCAGGATCTTGACTGTGTGACAGACACACTAGTCTTGGCAATATATCTGGATCTCAGCCAGTTCACATTCAAATTCACAGCAAAACTGATAAAGTGAAGTGCTTTCAATCAATATATAGATACTGGCTGCAACCTGTTTCCTCTTTATCATCACTCAAGACTGGCAATACTGCCACCATGTTCAGTTTGGTTGTCACTGTTACCCAATTAAAGAGGCCCTGTTATGCTTTTTAGGGGTGTCCCTTTCCTGTAGTGTGTTATATAGGTTTTTGTGCATGTAAAAGATCTGCAAAGGCTCAAATCCCAAAGTTCCCTCGATAGGGAGTTCCTCTCCTACACACTCCTCCCCTGCTTCAAACGCCTCCATTGGACTCCTTAGTTTACTTCCGTAAAATAATTATATCACTAAGTAACCCTCGCCCCTCTATTGGCTAGCGATCCAACACACTGTACGTGATAGGCTAAGGGGTGGGACATCTCTAAGCGGTTGACCAATCTCAACAGAGCCGGCCAGCTAACCAATCAGAGCAGACTGGGCTCTGGTTTCAGACAGAGGGTGAAAAGAGGTGCTGCAGCACAGGCAGTATGAGAAAAAGAAAGAGCTTTTTGAACATTAAAGCATGGAGACATGTCACAGTAGAGACACTACATACTGATATGAACCTGAACATGATCATTAAATGTCCTCTTTAATCCACACAAATGCTTACCCAGCCATCCAGCACCAGAGTTTTTGACACACATGTCTGTCTCAGCACTGGGGAGGACGAAGCCAACCACGAACACCTCCACGCCATCAGACATGAGCGCCAGCCCGAGGACGAAGAACAGCTGCCACTGGAACCTCCCGTGGCCACACTCCTGCATGATGAGCTCGTACTGCTGGGCCAGCTCCTCCTCGTCCGTCTGCCTCTCGCTCTCCAGCTCCTTGTGACTCTTCAGGCTGTCAGAGACCGGCTGACCCAGAGCCACCTGACCGTCCCGCAGCTTCCCCTCATTTTGGGCCGGGATGCCTTGGTACTCCCCCTCGTAGATCTCATCCTCATCGTCGTGGCCCTCTGTGTCATCACTGGAGGCCCCTTCCTCATCGTTGGCGTGCTGACCGTTAGCATTGTAGTTGTTCTCGTCTTCTTCCTCGTTCTGGAAACGGTTGTAGCTGCGATGAGTCGAGTATTCATCTGAGGCTCGATCAACTGCTTTGCCTACATTTTTGGCAGCTTGCCTCTTTGCTTCCTTTGCGATGTCCTTGGCACCTTTCGCCAAAGAAACCCTGTTGTTGTGCGTTTCATCCATCTTGGCACGAGGAAGTCTGGCACTAAAAGTTTTTTGAATTAAACCTATTGAGATTTATTCCACAAGGTGCAACAAAAGTTATTTTTTCCTTTCTTTCTTGTGTTCTATTCCCTGACAGAACAAGGCAAGTCAGCTGCCAGGACACCAATGATTAAGGAATGACCCGAGATCTCAAATTGGAAAGATCCTCCTGCCTGTCAGAGCTCAGCAAAAGAGATCACCAGCCTGTAGGGACAGAAAAAGAAAAGAAAAGTTAGCCTGATAAGGCGCATAACTGCAGATACATAACTGCAGTATTTCTTGGCACACAGAAACACAAACAGAAACACTTCAAACGAGCATTCAAACACAATGACAGCCAAATTGATACAAGGTGAAATGTACTAATGCAATGGAAAGGCTTCACTAAGAGGGACTTAGCAAAAGATACATTTACACACTTAAGACACTCTCAATCAAAACGTAAAAAACAACTCTTCATCTTATGAGAACCATAAATGCTTGCATCATCCGACAAAATAAAGGTTGCCCTACAGTATTTTTGCTCTACAAACACAGTATTACAGACCCCTATAAATATAATGCAATGCAATTCACAAGAACCATAACAAGATTTGAATGAGCACATTTTTTACAATTGCCGACGAAAATAGCTTCTCTAAGGTTAGACTTTTTGTATATAGATATGAACAGCTAGGTGTACCTAATAAACAGCGGGTTTTGTGGACGTGTACTGTAGAGACAAATCTTCTAAACCTTTGGTAGAAATTGGATACAGTGCAATGTGTGGACAAAACAACAACTTTACTCAAAGTGTTGCTGAACTACAGTATGTCTTTGTTTGTATTCTACAGAGGAACACATCTACTTCTAAGAGGGCCATCAATGATCCCATTTAATTGAAAATCAATCCAAACTAATGCGATTGATTGCAACAAAAAAAAGCAAAAACATGTTGTTCCAGTAATAGTTCTGTCAGCAAAGATTGCAAACTAATGAACCCCATTTAATTACAACTCGTGTCCTTGAAGTCTTTCTGGAGTCTCACAGGACTGTGTCTCTCACAGTATAACAAACCCGCTGAGAACTGTAGTCCTTTAGTGAGTTCTCCTAGTTTACTGAGGACATGACAGCGGTAGGTCTTAAAGAAGAAACCCCCTGAAGTCTAACAGCTTGTGGTCATCACTGTACTCATTAACATTAACTGGGACCTCTCTGGGTCTGCTACCTCTCCCGATGTGTACAAAAACACAGCAGCCGTCTGAAAAGTCAAGGTGACCCCCTCAACTCAACAGCACTGCTTTTAACCGTAGTGTCTTTCAAAAGGAGATAAAATGCATCAGTGTGTTTGTGGCTTCACTTTCACCCAGACAGAACATTAACTGTAAAACATAATCAGATCCTCAGCATCAGACCCTCAGTTTCAGACCCTCAGTTTCAGACCCTCAGCATCAGACCCTCAGTTTCAGACCCTCAGTTTCAGACCCTCAGCATCAGACCCTCATTATCAGACCGAACACATCCAGCTTCTGAATTCAGGAACTAAACTATCTTAGTTAGTCAACACACTCAACAAAACTCCCACACACTGTCTGTTATGCAAAAGTCACAACAAAATGTACTGTGTTATCATATCAATGGTTTTACCAACTTTTATTCTGAAATGTCAAAATACTTTTAGGAATATTGTGGGAAATGCAGTTTTTGGCTTTTAGTGCAGCAACAGGCTTGGGGAATAATGGATTACATCTATCAGGATTTTTTGTTTTTTTTAAGATGTAATCATATTACTGATACATTCCAAATGGAGATTACTAGCAGGATTTCACTTTCTTTGGTTCATTTGTACTTTTTTTAATTCAGTAGGTATTCCTATAATACACTTACATAGAAAACATCTTATTCAAATGTATTTATTATACATTTATTAACATTGCATTTGATATTGACGTTATTCAGAAGTAACAGAAAGCACTAAGGTTGCATTACTTTTATATTTTGGTACTCAGATTAGGTTACTGATTACATTTTTTTACAGGTCAATAGTTATTGTAACGGAAATAAATTGCTGCCACTCTAGTGTCTGCGCGATAAAGCTGCAATACTGAAAAGCAGTGTATTAGCGTGGTTCATATGAGGTAACAAACACACAGATATTACCCAAATGTGCAGATTCCATCGGCTTGTATTGTGACAAATACTCATCTTTTTTAATTCAGTGCACATTTGTGTCAAGTCAAACAGAACTGGACTAGGTTGGATTTCATAAATATCCCTCATACCCTGCATCATTTATTCATTTGGGTTACACATTCAGAAATATTAGATTTTTGAAATGTGGCTTTTGTGAACATGTTTTCTGTCAGAGCTTGTTCATATCTGAATCGTGTTCCAGGGCTGGGAATGTCATCCTGTATGACTGAACCCCCTTAAGGCTCTCTAATGCGGCCCTGGCATGGCCCCTCAGAAGACCTGTCAACACACGGGGCCCGAGCTGTCTGTCTGCCACACAGCGAGCGTCAGGCCCACAGACGGCCGCAGGAGAAACACCAGCAGGCTGCGGCCCACACATCACACTCAGAGACCCTCAGCAGTACGGTTACTGACAGAAGCAATACACACTACAGACAGAACCAAAGGAAAACCCCAGAAGATGCAAAAGACGTGTCCAGGAAAACACTCAAATGTACCAGGCATCTTCTCTTGCTAAGGTCTGGCATTAATATGCTTAAACCTAACATTAAATCCTCCATGATGATGCAAATGAAAAGATACATTAAAAAGATGATATTGTTTTAAAATATAGAAGAGTTTTTCCAGCTCTTACAACTGCAACAGAGTGACAAGTGTTCTCTTTAGTGGGTCGCTTCCCATCCGTTTCAACAGTTCTATTCCCTCAAGAAAATATCAATTATTAAAGGACTTGGATCCAAATCAGACAAATTGATCCGCATTTCATGTTTGCTGCCTAACCCTTCTTGTTAACTTATCTATTGATCTCAGGAATAGTAGGATTTAGTGGCATCTGCTATTTAGAAACATTAAAGTAAATACCAGACAACCTTAAACAGGAATGATACCATGTGTGAAATGATTCATATACTGTACAGATGCAACCACATAGGTACCAACTTGTGATATGATTGTGTCTCTAAATAAAGAGAAATACAATTAAAACTTCTTACAAGAGGGTACTGTATTTGTATCTGCAGTCCCTGGAGTGGAAAGCTGAGGTATAGAGACTGGGTTAAGTGCCCAAATATAGCTTGGCAGGGTGATTTATGGTGTTTCTGCTCACCTTTGCTCTGCAGGAATAGATAAAACATCATTCGGGATCTGTCATTTGCACATAGGCGCCGGGGCTCCACAGCGACGTACAGCAGCCCGGGACATTTTGGTGCAATGCAGCAATAAAATGAAGTAGGAAATGTGTTTTAACTAACTTTGTTCACAGTTAGATGGTGAGACACTGACTCCCCCCTGGCCACACATACCACCATCCTTTGGCTTCAGGACATTAAATAAGAAGACCTGCCGCTGTTTGGATTTACACTGCGTCACTTCCCACATCAGTGGAGATGAAACATGAAATCAACATAGGTAACAATGTTTTTAAGTTGTTCAAGTCAGTATACTAGTAAAATGAATTTATAGATAACTTGGTTTTATCACCTTTAAGCTTTTTTGTTTCTTTTTTATTCCAGTGTGTTTAAATGCTCAATATATGGCACCATCCTTACTAAAATAACAGCATTACGCTTGCTAGCTGAGCATTAGATAAAAAGATTGACATGTCTTGGTGGTATTTAGTGAGAGTTGGGGTATGATAAGCTTAGCATGAAGACTGGAAGCAGGGGAAATCAGTTCTTCTGGCTCTATCCAAAGGCTTTAGGTGAAGTTATTTCATTTCATTTCTTGTAGTAGACATATACTTAAACTTTGGAGTGAGCCATGCAGCCTATTCTATTTCAATATGCATTATAGTTTTCATGCAAGAATAAGCTAATGTATGTGCTGGTTCTAGCATTTGTTTCCTCTACCCCTGAGAAAGAAATCAGTTATAGCCGAAACAAAACGATTTTCACGAAACTGTGTCTCAGGGCTTCTTAACATTTAACAACCTATTAATGTGTCATACCGACTTAACGGGAAAAAACTCAGCTAACTGGCGATATGAACCATTTTTACCTAAATAAAACACAAGTCTAACGCCAAACCTCTGAATCAGCACTAAGCAAAAGGGTGCTGACGCACTTAGCACATAACTCATGGTAGCGATCTTTTATACTTCATGCATCTGCACAACCTATATATCATATGAAAGCTGAGATTCCACAGATTCCAATGGTATAAGTATCATCACAGTGTGACTAAAACTCACGGCAGCCAAAGCCAGCAAAGACAACACACAACTTCACTTTACGGGGCCAAAACGGCAAATACGTCTTACCTTTGCTGCTTTCTGATCAAAAGTTGTGTTCAAGGGCATTAAAACGCAGATAAACGCTGCTGAAGGTTAATCCAATGTCTCTGTGTCACTTTGAAATGATTACTGATAATCCATCATAACATTTATGTCAATAAACGTAGTTTTCTATAGAGCGTAACCCAGCTTCCGGTTTTTGGGCATGCTGGCTGCGCATCACTCTCATTCACCAATGGTAATGTTAAGATGGATTTAGGGACTCCCCTTCGATTCTATTGAAATCTATTCAAAATCGACCGATGGGTTCCAGAGATATGGCAAATACACCCAAATGACCCCAGAGGTGGGTTTTTTTTTCTAAACCTCTCTAAAAAGGTCAAATGTCACTTGTTTTGCATCAATCTTGATACAGGGTACTTATTATATGTTATAGTTTGGATTCCTAAAGCTTTTGGCCTACTATCCCATCATTCAAGGGTGGTTTTCACTATAAGTAATGGGGGTTTTTCAATCTGAATTTACTTTAAAATAAAAACATCTATATTGATTCTGACTTTTCTACATCCAACTCACAGGTTTATCATTGCTTTGAGAAAAAAGATTATTAATTTACCCCTTTTAGAAGTGAAGATATAGTCATTTGTTCTGGGCATGTCATTTTTGAGCCTGAGACCTGAAAAACAGGCTCAGGGCTTAACAGGAACCAAACCATAAAGGTAGCATTGTTTTCACAAAGATTCCATTTGGATCTGACTGAAAATGTACATTTGTTGTCATTTGTGCATAAAGCTTTCTGTAACACAAGTCGTGTTACCTATTTAAACTTTTAGATGTTGACTTTGCCATTGCTGAAAAGTCTCACTTCATATTACATGGATTGACATGTGTTTCTACCCGAGCACAGCTCTCTTTGCAAACTTCCCTGAACTCATTTCCAGCGCAGCAGCTCCTCCAGCTGAGTGCTTGACGTCTGAGACTAAAAGGTCAAACTGTGATAAACCTCATGATATGCTCTGAGAGTTCCTGCACCAAATGGCCAAGAAGAAAATAGCCAATCAGCTCACTGCACTGCAACACTGAGAGAACTTTTCTACAAAAAGGGGAAATTACTAACAGTGCATAGCAGGTCTGTGTATAATCCCTGGTTTCAGTTCACATCCTCCATGCTGATCACTGGTGTTCTCACCATTTCTCTCCATCTCTCTTCACTTCTTTTCTTTCTTCCTGCTCACTCTCTCCATCCTCTCATCTGAGTGCGCCAAGAATTTCAAAGTCAATGCCTTGTTGGCAATATTGAATATGAAAGCTATCCCTCTTCTGTTGACATTTTATTATTCATGATAAGCTCCTCCATATGCAAATGGTCATTAATGCTGACATTTAGAAGTCTTTTCATGCACTTTGAGCTACAGAAATAATTATTTAAAGTCCAAATGTCCAGTCTTTCTTTGAAGCACCCTATATAGCCTACAGTATGGCGTTTTCACAACACAGAAAAATAGACACACTTATACAAGAAGCTACCACATTTAAATGTGCTACCTTAACCTTGCCCCCTATAAACAGAGAAGCTAATATCGTTTATCGCTTTTATTTCCTTTTCGTTGGTGGCTCACATCGCTTTCTGCTGTGATGCTGTGATTGGGCTTATTGTAACAAAACCCTTATGATGTGATTTCAGCCATCAGCAAAAATGCATGCGAGCTCTGAATACAGCAGTCCACAGAGAGGGGAGAAATGATTTGCTCGCAGTCGTGCTGTCATGGCCCGCTGCCGCCATCCAGCTACGTTCATTAATCACTCACGCCAACACACACACAGAAACACACACACACACACACGCATATGCTCTGCAGGTGCATACTCTGGAAAGAGCTGGGTGAAATGGAGAGTATGTTCTGCAGCAAATTACTGCATCAAAACACTTTCTTTTAAGTGGGGAAATGCAATAATCGTACAGGTTACACAGATAAGATTTCTGCATAATCATCAATATGTAAATGCAAGTGGTGTGTGCAGAGCCCTACAGGCGTTCTGCAGTGCCCACAGATGGCTGCAGTGGGCAGTTGTGAATCGTTTGAATACAACTACACGCCAAGAGAAGCAGATGCTACACAAGAGAGGTTTAGGTTTTGACAGAAATACTGTTAGACCTTCTGATATTAATACAGCTTAATATGCAATATGATTCCTGTCTTATACTTCAGCTTTAGTGATGTTGGCACAAGCCTTACACTTGATTTAACTGTTGATTAAAAATAGCTTTTACCCAAAAGACTAAACAAGAAAGCTGGAAGAAAATGGCAAAATCCCAGAGAGTGACGTCACTTTATATCCAATTGCAAACTTTGGATAATTTGATTAAAAGCTTGAAAATATACCCAAATACTGTATCTTAAAATTCACGTTTCAGGAATTGGGAGACATATGATCTCAAACAACAGGCTCATGAAGGACACCCTTAAACATGTAGCCTCAGGAGACTGTTGAAGTCACAAATGCACTGTTGCATAGGGAACATTTAAACAACTCAAACTACATTGGATTCTCCTCCTGATGACACACACACACACACACACACACACACACACACACACACACACACACACACACACACACACACACACACACACACACACACACACACAGCTGCCTGATTGCTTGTATGTAATGATGGCTGTGAGGGTTTACGGAAAGCTGGAATATAGCCAGCTGCTGTGGGAGTCCCTGTGTGGATGCCCAAACTGTGTTTGATGGAAAGTGTGTGTGTGTGTGTGTGTGTGTGTGTGTGTGTGTGTGTGTGTGTGTGTGTGTGTGTGTGTGTGTGTGTGTGTGTGTGTGTGTGTGTGTGTGTGTGTGTGTGTGTGTGTGTGTGTGTTTTCAGTATTTTCTTCATACACTGATTATTATACAGTGTATGAACAAAATACGTCAACTTGTTATATACAGTGTAAATACCAAGTTGACGTTTTCACCAAATGTTGAAAGAACTACCATTTTGAACCTCAAGTTTGCCATTTCGGCCATAACCATCCTGGTTTTGGCCGACTCCATCTCTTTTTCTGGAACCAAAATAGATGAGAATAGGAAGAGCAAAGCAAAACTGAACCTTAAAAAAATGATTTAGTTGGCCAAAATGTTATAATTAACTTTCATTAACTGAAAACACACGTTAACAAGAGTTAACATTTTAAGAAAAAAGTGCAACATCTTGCAAATTGGACAATAACATATCAAGAGAGGGGTTATTTTCTCATAGACTTCTACACAATCTGATCCCCCTTTTTTTCTCAATTTTGACTTAATTCTCACCTTTTTTGGCATGTAAAAACTGAAAGCTGAACTATAAACAGCTGAAGAGTCATAAAGTGCAACTTGTGGTATAAATCCATCAAAAATAAACTACACCAAGGAGACTTTTTGAGATTATCTCAACTGTGTTTCCATTAAGAATCCACTCAACTCTTTTGTCTTATTGGGGAACTTTATTTAAGGACTTATTGATGTTCCTGTATTAAATTCCAGGCAACTGATTGGCTAACTGATCTCATCCTGACTTGGCTTTCTGCCCTGGCCCTCACAATGATGTGGTGCAGACCCATGTAACAAGCCAAACCTTCTTTTGTGTTTAGATGGAGCCGAGAATCTGAGATAATAATAAATGGTCAGGTTTAGCTCAGCATTGTCAGCTGCTGGGCTAAAGCAAACACTGATGTAGACAGGCCTTAAGGCAAACATCAATTTACTGGCTTGGATGTTTGAAAAATATCTATTGATGCAGAAAACACCTGTTTATTTTTCCACCCTTTTGATCCAATCTCACTTCCCATTCAGCTCACTGGGACAGCTTTATGCTCAAACTCATCTGTCACTTTCCTCCTCTTTGTTCCACTCGCAGGGTTTACTACTCTGCAGCGGCTCTCCCGGCTGAGCACAGCCCACAGAGCACGGAGAGGAAAGAGCATCAATCCCCGGGCAGTCTTTTGACGTAGTCGCGTCCCATAATTAGATTTTGGGCTGTCCTGCTGCCTGTAGAAATCTGAGGAGACTGTCCGCGCACACACACGCACGCGCGCACACACACTGCACCGACTCCCGAGTTATGGATGGGTCTGTCCTCTCTCTCTGCGCATCTCACTGCAGGTTCGCTCTGCCTGCAGACGGGAAAGCACGGGGGTTGCCTCCTCCGTGCGCGTGAGCCAACTCATATTTCCACGAGCATTGAGCACACGACACGATTGCAACATCATTCACCACGACCACGACACACACATGTGACATCTGGGAAGTCCCTAGATCGTCTATTATATTATTTAGTATGTTTGCAGATTGAAATGTGTGCAATTTCGAGTTTTATCTTTAATATTTTATGCATGTCTCTTAATAATTGCAATTTGTTGGCTCATGCTTGTGTTGTAACAATGTGAATGTCCCCTCTGTGGGACGAATACAGGATTTCTGATTCTATAATTGTGCGCAATTTAGTTTTGCAGCATTTCATTAAAAACTCAAACTTTGTTATAAGAACAAATCACGTGTGTCTAAGAATATGCTCCGATTTCAAATAGTCTACATATTTTTGATTCAGCATTTTTAATAATGCTTACTGTATGCTGGAAACTCTTAGAAAGTTCCCCAACTTTTCCATCAATCATGTGCACGTTGTGGCTGTGTTCATAATTATATTTCCATGACAGAATAAAAAGCACTTTCATAGGTGCATGCGACATCCCATTCTTCCATCTTGCATTTTAAATGATCCAAAAAGGCGGATTAAGATACGATCTGTGTTTCACTACAATGCAGAGGGAGGTGAAGTTAAAGTCTAGTTTCTCAGATTTGAAAAGCAAAGAAAATACTCACAACCTGCAGAGGACCAGATGCATGGTACCGAGCTCGACCAGTCGCCTCTCCCTGGTTTCCCTCTCTATGAAGCAGCAGAGATGGAGAGCATCGTGCCGAGATTTCTTGTTTCTTGTCTTCTCCGATGCAGCGGTTTCTCTGCTGCAGTCCGAGGGAGACGAGAGAGGCTGAGGGGAGGTGGGAAGCGTGAGTGTGTACGGGGGGAGGGGAGGAGGGGAGGGGGGGAGGAGGCAGGGAGGGAATAGGCAGACTGAATCAATAGGCAAGCATCCAACACGGACAATAGTGGGCATTTCTTCCGTATATTACAGTACAACAACATGTGGTGAAGGCTCATTGATGCAGGATGGCTGGCAGCATCACAGGCTGCTGAGTTTGAAGAGAGGATGAGAACAAAGAGGAAGGATGGAGCTGAAATATGACTCCTGGGAAGAAGTTTACTGAGGGATGACGGACTGTTGCTGAGTCTGCAACGTCAACTTAAAACCACTGGAGTGCTACACTGCCAGAATTCAAATGTAATGATACAAACAATCTGCTTTCAATTTAAAAGCAGAGATTTTCAAGTAAAATTAAGATTATGACTTCAAATTACCTCTTCAACATCATACTGCACATCTGACAAGTGCATGTCTATAGGTTTGTCATGTGTTTATTTCAGGCCTTTGTGTAATTGAAAATAACACCAAAACTGATTTCCCCCTGCAAGATTTATAAAGTGATCTTAATCTTAAAGGTCCCATGTCATGCTTTTCCGGTTATTACCCGTCCCCTTGTGTGTTATGTAGCTTTTTCTGCATGTAAACGGTGTGCAGAGTCACAAACCCTCAAAGTACACCCTGTAGCGAGTAAAACTCTAACACAGAAAAGACCTGTCTATGCTGCCCCAGAACGCCTCGTTGGAGATTTCTCTTTTTCCATTTTTTTCTTCCTGAGTATGGTGACGTAACCATGCCCAGGTCCAAATGGACCAATCCGTGGAGCTCCTCACACACACACACTCACTCGGCCTTATCTTTTCTCAGCTGCGGCTCCGCAGATTTCTCAGCCTGAGAAAGCGATACACCACGAAACTCAGCCTGAACTCGCAGACCAGGAAACGACCCCAGTAATCCAGCTCACACTGTCCGCTCCTCGCGGCAGCGAGCCCCGCAACATCCCGCCAACACGGCACCCAGACCCCACGCAGCATTCTCATCTGTTTATCATTACTGGTGTCATTTTCTGGTTGCTAATGTAAATCTATTCTAGTAGACCTCAACAATGGAATTATGATCAGTAGAAATGGCCATGTCATGGGACCTTTAATCTTAGTCTTAATACAGCGCATTTGTGTTATCTGTGCTGATATATTGTGTGCTAGATGAATCCTTCATGATCGTCATTATCTATAAAATGTCAGAAAATACTGAAAAATCACAATTTCTCGAAGCCCAAAGGAAGGTTATCAAAATGCTTGATTTGTCAGAGAAGCACTCCAAACACGTTTAACATATTTGACTCACCATCAGGTTGAATACTAATATTGATAAACTGGGACAACGGGGGAAAACATGTGTTTTTGCTTGGAAAATTAAGAAAATATGTATATGTATTAAATCATTAAAATACATTAAAAGAAAATCTGTTGCTTGAGTACAGTAATCTGACTCCCACAGCTGGAAGGTTTTTTTCTGCCATTTTAAAAGTTAAAATAGTTTTCCCATCACTTTGCTTCAACAAGGCCTGCTTCTATCAAACCACCCTGACCAAAGAGCATTTTATATGCCCCATCCTTAGGTGCTAACAAAAACACGGGTGATATAGCCACACCTGTTTTACTGGAAACACTGAAACAACATTCAAACATAAGAAAACATGACATTAAAGTATGTAACATATATTAGTTAATTTCCATTATATTTATACATGAAAAAACTACAACAAAGTTTTATAAACAAATCTAACATATATTCAGCACCCATTCTATCAATCTTATTCGGTGGAACCCCCAAAACGATAAAAAAAAGTGGTTGTTTCCCTGGGGACTCTTCTAATGGCGCACCATGTGAGTGGGAGGTAGGACCATAGATATATATGGTAGGACAGCGCAGGTAAGTGTTAGGATATTTAATGATTAGCTTTTTTAAGTATCTCTAACAAAACTGCATTTAAGACTCCTGTGTAAAACATCTTACAATGTTGTGAACAAATACGCAGCCCAATATAGCTGCTACAAAAACTCGAAACACACCTGAATCTCCGACACAACTGTTGGTAGTCGAGATGCATTTGGGTAACGTAGTCACTAGTATTTTTACATGGAAACCTGAATGGAAAAAAACGTCTCAGATTCTGCTGCATCGATTTTTATTCTTGTGTTTTTAAACTGACAATTTCATAAAAATCACAAATCACATTTGTAATGTAGTCAGTAACATGTTCTTGACTTAATATTGTGTAATTAAGATTATGCTAAATGTGTGAGCTACCAAAAGCCCAAACCTGCCCTGTTGTATTTTCTATAATGCTTATTAGTCCATCTGAGCTAGTGATTTAAACCTATAAGCATGTATGTCTGTGTGTGTAATCTCTGCACGTCTGCACCCAGCATTTTAGCATGTTCACCTCGTGAGGGATGCCAGTCATCGCCAAAGTTTGAGGCTAAAAGAGTTCAATGAGGGCATCTGGGCAGAGAGAGTAAGCAATCCCCAAAAACCCATCTTATTCTGCATGGCTAGAGAAGGGCCATTATGAACTCCAGTGAATGAGCGCTCCTCTCCTCTGCTCTCAGAAATAACCATTACAGGAGAAATCTCAAGCAGCGAGGAAGGAAGCCTGGGAGGACGTCTACTCACTCAAATAAAAATGCAGATACATTTGCATTTCTATCCAGCAGCTGTTGTTTAATTTGGGGGCTGAAATGAATAAAACCAAGCATGCACACATCTATCAGGACACACACACACACACACACACACACACACACACACACACACACACACACACACACACACTCTAATGTCTGCAAAAACACATAAGTACTCAACTGGCACAAATGAACTCCTGCATTAACATAACATGAGCTCTGTTCCTGATGTCAGAAATGATGCTCTTGGTATGCAGTTAATCTTCTCTGTTCGTCTTTGATATCCTTTTTATTCATTTAAAGTCTTTGATCAACTAAAACTATGCTGCTGTGATTGAATAGTGTGTAGAGATTTAACATTGTGGTTGTCTAGACATTCCAATCACCGTAAAAGAAGGTCAATATACAACCTGGGTTATGTTTTAATAGCAATGTTTTTCAATTAAAATGAATGACTTGACTTTCTTCTACATCTGCACTAGGCTTTTACAGCAAAGTAAGGTTAGAGAAAGGTTGTGATTGTGGTTAACAAAGAGGCACATGAATGAAAATCCGACGTGCTTCACAATCATCAGTCTGCAATACTGTGCAAAATAATGAATCCTATATTTCCTGCATTCCTATTGGATGTAAATCATGGGAGCAGGGGCCCATTCGACAAAAGCAATTTGTGCTAATGCTTACACACATCTTGCAAATTCTACCAGCCTCGTAGCTGACGCATGGTTTTACTACAGATATATTTAAGAGAACTACAGGGCTCTCACATGCTTACAGGGATATGATTTTCTTTTATTCACTCCTGAAATATGGCACATCAAAAGAAGAAATGATGTTGCACATCGCTGATTGCCTGTTGGATTTTTGGTAAAGTGGGCTCCAGAAATATCGATCTAACTGGAATATAACTGAATATACACTCTTACATGCACACAACTGTTCATTACTTATGAATGAACTTGCAATCTTCTCCCAACCTCTCAGTGTTATAGCCTTTGGGGAGAACACTTGGATAATACACTGCAAAATTGTTATGGGCTATTTAGTTTGATGTGTGATTTGGAGTTTAATTGATTTCTAATTATACGCCCTGGTGGGCGCATAATTTCATGCGCAAAAAACAAAAGGGGTTGTTAGCAAGGGCTGCTTTAGAATGCATTAGGATGCACTGCTTTGTTTTCCCTGTAATTACACACTTCACTCATCTTCCTGCACACACACACACCTTTTACAAATGTATTTAGAGAGCTAGGTAATTACTTGTTTTCCCTAAAACTAACAAACCACTGAGTAAGTACTTTCGAACAAGAATGATTAATTCAAACTAAAAGGACAAACTATATTCTCAGTTGGAATTAACATCACTAAAATGATAAGCTACACTCAACATCAGTCAATTTAACCCTTCACTTCTTCATGAAGAAGAGGAATAAATGTGCTTATTCAGCCTGACTCATCCCTGGCTTCTGTTCACCCTCTCGTGAAGCTAAAGAGCTTGTGAAGGTTGAGATACTGTTCAGTGGTGTTAAGTAAGAAGACAAATGGCCCTCTGGAAGAGCCCGGCTATAAAGGTTAATTACATTTCTTAACACAGCGGAGTGAAGGGTTGCAGAAGAGGAGGAGACTGCAGGAGGATGAGAGGGGGGGGATCAGTTCAGAGAGATGCTATTTAATGACAGAGAAGAGGAAGACAATTCTAAATTCTATATTTTGATGTAGTTGGATACCACCAGGATTTGCAGCAGGTTGCTAATAAAAGCAGTCTCTTGAAATGAGATTTGATATTTCTGTTTCTATAATAGCAGCCTGGCTCTTTACACCTTAATATGACACTGTTTATTTCAGCGCCTGCAAACAAAGCACCCTGATGGATGCTTTGAATAGTGTAGCACCTAGGTTGCTCCGACCGTTATGTGGGTGGGATCTAATATAATTACTCTGAATGAGCCAGTGGAAAAGCTATTTTTGACGTCTATTCATTTTCTGGAAAGTTCCCTTGACAACAGCCTGATGTGCCTCGGCCCTCTGATCTTTTACGTCCCCCAAACCCCACAGAGGAAAAAAAAAAAGCCTTTTGTCTGCAAACCTGCAAATGCCAAAGTGTCAAGTAATTTGGCTCCTTGGAGAAAAATGACGCAAATGGTTATTTAGATCAAGGTTCAAGGTTCTTTATTTTTGTCGTACGAACATAGCTACAGTGTAGTTATGCCGATGAAATTCTTAGGTCACAGGCTTCTCCAACAGTGCAACACAATAACACAGATAAACAGAAAA